AGTACAGTAGAATAGTAGGATCAGCTGACCTTACTCATCTACCTTACTCCAGATTTGGGCCCCAATGATAGGCGGCGTAGTCGTCCAAATTCGCCACGAACGTCGCCGCGCAATTGGCCGCACGCAACCTCGGACGCACGACTTAACACACACACCTCCACGCTTACTTTCACTCTATTTCCCAACTTCCAACGCTATTTTGCTCTGCAACCGTAAAGTTAGCAGTGAAGCTGCAAATTAGGGTTATAGTAGGTGACAAATACGCTGACTTGCTAGACTTTTTAATCATAGAGTAGATGTTGGTTCAACTAAACCTTATAGAGTTTTCAGACAGGTCTACAGTCAACCAATTGGTGGAGATGCGAAGTGATCTAAACTGAAACGAAACGTGCATACCCGCCTTTTATGGACGCGCAGTTGAGAAATGATTGAAATAAAGAATGAAAAAAGGAAAACTGACGTGAAAAACAAGTAGGATAACCAATAACGAAAGGAAGAAAGGAAAGTCACGACAGAAATTTCCGAAGCGAAACTAACGACATGAAATCATGCTTATGAGGATTGCCCCAATCAGTATTTGAAATTGAATAAAATTAAGCGTGAAGTTACGGTAGTTGCCGTTAGTACGCATTTGTACACTGCCACCATTGTGTAAATAAACAGCTCCAATTGAAGCTCACGCGCTCCAATGGCAAAGTGGCGGTGAAGGGTTGCGCCAAACCATATCCCCGTTTGAATCTGTCTTGTATTTCGATCTCCAAACAAGAGACCGCTCTTGAAAGATTTTGTGCTATCCTTCCCTAACTTGAGTGGACATTATTGATATGCTCTTGGTAGATCGACACAGTATGCATAAATTATTTATCCCCCTGCCTGGATTTTCGCAGCGAAAAGTCTTTTGGTTGACAACAGTTCCTAACTTCCAAATTTCAGAATTGTCAGCACTTGGTCGTGTACAGCAGCATTCTTGTGCTCCCCGTGTTCCATACTGAATGTATTCCACAAGTACGCAGAAAAGGGAATGGACATTCACAAGAGAAGAACTAAAAGAAAGGCGAAGAAAGGTTTGCTTGTTCACTTGTTCTGCGAGGCTTTTTCTGGATTGCTTTTTACTCTAGTTTTCCCGTATGCCTTCATTAATAAGCTTATTTTGAAGTTTTGCTCCACATAAGCATCTGAGTTGTTTTTTCCTGGTAATGTTTTTGCTGTTTTTCTTGATTGTGAGCAAATATGTCGAACTTCTTTTGGGGAATTCTAGGGGAACTTCAACCTTGGCATTTAAACAAGAAATAAGTGTTTGTGAGAGAACAGTTACCCTAAAATTCCATAGATAAGAGCGGTTGAAGCTACCGGTGAAAAATGAATTGGAATGAAATTGAAATTGAATGCAGTCACCCTCTAACTTGATGGATGGATAAATTAAACTTCNGAAGTTTAATTTATCCATCCATCAAGTTAGAGGGTGACTGCATTCAATTTCAATTTCATTCCAATTCATTTTTCACCGGTAGTTTCAACCGCTCTAATCTATGGAATTTTAGGGTACTTGAATGATTGATCATGTTACTGGCACCTCCGCATCTCATCATGGCAAGGTTTTCAAAAACCGGTGTTTTCTGCCGAGTAAATGTCGAGAATCAAAAGTTACGCGTAGATTCTTCTGTGCTGTCGTTGGAAAACCAGAAAGTGTAAAAAACTTTTTCCTGAATACTCACCTGTATCAGCTGTCGTCCCATTGATCACCGATTTCATCGAGCGGGCGCTAGTATCGTTTACATTCGTCCCAGTCACGAGCCACAATAGTCCAGTGAATCGTACTCGCTCGAGGGACTCGAGCCAAAGCATTTCTTCCGTTTAGAGCTTTCGTGAAGAAGTGCGACCATCGCGCCAGCGGTCGTCCTGATATCCGTTTGACGTCCCAAGGGATGCAGTCAGTGACTACCCTGGCCAACGGTCCTTACTATATCCCTACTATTGCCCGGCCCACCTGATTTTCGATTTCTTGGCTTAATTAACGGCATTCCTGATCTTCGTTCTTTGAGAAGCTCGGGGCTCCGGATTCCCTTCTGCACTTTCGTGTTTAGGGAAATTCTGAGTATCATCCTTTCCACAGCACGTTGAATGGCGCTAACTGCATGCTTATACTGCTTTCATAGAGTCCAAGTCTCTGAGGCGTATGTCAAAGCAGAAAGGACCGCAGTATGGGAAAGGTGAGCACGGAAAAAGATGTTCCTTATCTTATTTACTACTCCCTCGATGTTCTTAAAGGCTCCCCACGCCACGTGTTTCCTTCTGCTTGGCTCCGGTGTTAGGTCGTTCATCATAATTGAATCTCGGGCTAAATACACGTAGCTAAAGCATTCAAAGATGTTTGTTTCGTTCAGCGTGAAAGAAGCACCAGGTACAAAACCGTTTCGCATGAACATCGTCTTCGTTAGGTTCAGACGTAATCCGAACTTTCCACAAGCGTTATCAAACTCGGCCAGCATTTGTTCCGCCTGCTCGATGTTCGGTGTTATAAGCACGATGTCATTGGCAAAGCAAAGATGATGTAAGTGGGACTCGTCGACCTTCACACTCGTGCTTTCCCATTCCATATGACGCACGTTCTTGAGAACGGCACTGAGAAGTTTGGGCGAAATGGTATGGTGAAATACTTCCGTCAAACTCCCTCTTTACGTTGATGAGGGAATTGCGAATTATAGAGTTGTGAGATCGTGGTGTGTTGTTGTTGTTGTTGAGCTCACGGAGTATCCTTATCATTGAGCAGGAACACTGCGGTTGTCTAGGGCTTCGATTACCGTTTCTGTCTCGACGGTATTAAAGGCTTTCTTCAAGTCGATAAACGTAAGACATAACGGTGTTCTGTACTCTCGCAATTCTTCAGTGAGCCCTGTAAGATTGTGGATATGATTGTTTGATTGTGCTGAACCCTCTCCGAAACCCTGCTTGCTCGCATGGCTGCTCTTCTTCTAATATTATGCCAATTCTGTTCGGAATGACGTGGGTGAAAAGCTTGTAGATTACAGATAGCAGGTAAATTGGGCGATAGTTGCCAATATCGTCGAGATCTCCCCCTTATACAGCCCCACGGTCTTGATAGTTTTCCACTGAGTAGGCATTTTGCATTCCGACAGATACCGCGTGAAGAGCTCAGCCGAGTTCTGACGATAGTGGATGGAAAACTCTTTGGATGTTCTGATTTGATGCTATCTGGACCGGGCGCTCTACATTTCTTCATCGACGTTATGGCATGTTGAATTTCGGAGGAAAGAACTGGAGGGGCGATTTGTCCGTCTTGCCTTAGATTGTAGGGAGGCAGATAGACGTGGCTGCCGAAGAGATCAGAGTAGAAGCCATGAATGACTTTTTCCATTGCCTCTGAGATACAGTAACTGTTCCGCCAGGACGACGAAGCGAAGTCATCGTGGTCTTGTAATTGGCGAAGCTCCGGTGGGCCTTGCAAATGCTCTTCCCAGTCGGGTCAAACTGCTACTCTTCTCTCTTTTAGATTCTCCTTTATCGCTTCTCCGCATAACTTTGCAAGTTCGGATGTTTTTTGACGACTGGCTGCAGCTCGCGCGATTCCACGCTGGCGTATCAGCTCGAGTGTCTCCAATGAGAGACCTTTCTTGACATCTTTGAGACTCTCTACTTCTCTGGCACTATCGCGAAGATGTTCGAAGAGCCATCTCTTGATCTTTATCGATGTTGTCGCTACCGGAATCTTTCCAAAAACTCGCACGTGAAGCAAAGTGATCCGAGTTGACAACAGTCTTGGGGCTTCGTTTCGTGAACTTCTCAGCTCTCTCTCCACGCACTGAGAAGCGAAATCTAGCGCAGAGGAGACGTAGTCTGATCCCGTGTAGAACTTCGGAACAATAGCGACGTCGACAAAACATTAGTTTGAAGATTATGGATGTATTTTATCATCCAACCATCCACCAGGCGACTCCCACGTCCACCGCAAATGAGAGGGCTCTGGAACCTGGAACGACAGTTACCATGGATGGTGTGGATCAACATGATCGAATCGGACAACCTTTCACCCACTCAATTCATTCTAACCCGTGAATCTCGATGTGGAGCTCTTCCCGGCGATGACCTTGAAGAAGGTACGGACTTATCTACAGATCCTCTCCAGATCCGTATAAGACACTTGCGGCTCTTCCTCTTCATAGCTCGAGGTTGGTGCGTAGACAACGAAGAGTGTTGGAGCTGGGGTTGAGTTACATCTTCTCCGCGTTGTCAAGCTTTCATACGAATCGATGTTTATGGCCAAGTGCGTGTTGACGAGGACCCCCACCGACACCTCTGCTGTCGCATGTTCCAAGACTAGTTTTTCTCTAGTTTCGAAAATGACCGCTTGCAACGGGCGGTGCCTCTCGTCTCGATCAGCCCGATGACTTCGTACTTGATCTTCCTGGCTTGCATCATCAGTTCTTCGATACACGGTTTCGTTTCAAGCGTTCGTGCACTGAAAGTACAGATCGTCCTTTTAGTTCATCTCCTTTTAGGCAGCCTGTTATAGCCCTTAATTTTAGCAGCCTTTCCCGGAGCGGTCCTACGCAGCACTGTCATGTTGGAGGCTCCCGAAAGTTCAGGGAAATGAATGGTACATACAAAAATGATACACGTTTTTATCACTGTTTTTGGCATATGGATATCCACTGTACCTTGCCAGGCTTTGACAAACATATTTTTTATATTCCGAAAAATAAGCTATAAAAACTTCCTACCATTTCTCCCTTGTTTGAAGTACCAAAAATGACTTTCTTTGCCTGGGTTCTAGTCTTTCAATGCAGTTGACGGCTACTCAAAAAAGCTCTGGGTATTGTGGTGTACTTTGAAAATGTTGGACTGCATGAATCGAAGTATTAGGTGGCAACTAAGTAACTTTGTAACGGGTAACTGTTTGTGCAGAAAATCACGGCTATCTTTCTTGCAGGAAAGTGTTTAATCAGTCGCGTATTAAGCACAAAATTTTGGGGTTCCTGCTCTACGAAGCAAATCATATTTGAAAAAGGATGTTTCCCTTTAAAATAAACCTTCAAAATACTCAGAAGAATCCGTACTTATTCAGTTGTCAGCCTATTAATAGTTTCTGGATCGTCTTTAACGGTCATGTCACTAGAGATAATCGACTTCTGAGCTTTGGAAATTTTGGTTATCTTCAGGTTTACCAATTTCCTTTCCTCCCCTGTTATTGTTTTTCCCCAAGGCGCAATTCGCGAGGATTACATTACTGCTTTCAATGACTCTTACTGTCATTTTCTATCCCAGTCCTGTTGTGCATCTCAAAGTTCAGAGGGAAACTTTTGACTCGAATGCAGCATCTGCAAGGCTTGTTTCAAAGCGATTCCGTAATGGAATCTAAATATAGTCAAACATGAACGCATTGATTCTTCGAATAGGATTTTTCCACTTTCGCTCTCTAACTGGTAAATTTAAGGCGAACGAACAATTCCGGGCTAAGCAAGCCGATTTGTTGCAACCGGGAGAAGAATCCATTTTTCTAACTCCTGAGGAGGAAGCGAAGATGATTAACGTCGTAGAAAGTGCTGCCATAAGGTATGCCATATTTCCGGTTGGTTTTAACACCTGTTCCTTTCCTGTTGTTGACGTTATATCTTCATTCTATCATTTTCCAGGTTCTCCGACACTTTTCAACCCCACATGTGGCCATCAGTTCGATGGACAGCCTATGCATACTTTAAACGTATTTTTCTCGACTGGTCTGTGATGGAAGCCAGTCCTAAAGTTCATTACTTTCTGATTACTTCTTTAGTTCCTTTGCAGATTTGTTTTTTTTTTTTACCAAATCTCTAGATTGAAGGACAATCTAGTCTATTCTCTTATTCTAGCGACCTACAACGTAGCATAACTTGCAGATTGTGATGATGGCATGCTTCTACCTTGCCATGAAAGTTGAAGAATTTTATGTAAATATTGATGAGTTTGTTAGCAACTTGAAGTGAGTTTCCTTAAATCTATCTTCATTTTATGTTACATTTTCTTTTTTCTTCAGATCTGGAACACCTGAACAGAATACTACCCGAATCTTGGGATTAGAACCAGAAATCATGCGTGCACTTCGCTATCAGATAACTATACATTGTCCTTTCCGGTTTGTTGTTTACTAAATGTGTCTCTTAGTAAGTATGTTTGATCAAGAGTTCGTAACTCTTGTTCACCTGGGCATGGATACTTTTGAAGGGATAAAGGTGATACGTATATTGATGGTGGGTGGCAGAAAGCGTTAATGACTGATATGAGCTGGAGGCTCAGGAGGCAAGAGTTATTCAGCTGTTGCGCCTTTCGTAATCTATAGCAACTGACAGAGATGGTCAGGGGTATAAAAAGCAGGAGTCGCTGGCTCGTTTACACCCTTCTTATAGTGGAAGCTCTACGCGTTAGTGGGTGATGGGCGGTGTCGCAGGATAAAGGAAAGATAATTGATAGCGGTTGATAAGGGTTGCCGAGAGGGAATAAAAGGTCGGAATGACTGACTCTATTACGATTTTCGTCTTAAGTGGAGCCTTTGCGCTTCAGAGTGATGTGAGTATGGGCCGGAATCCTGGATCATGGCTTGATCGTTACAGGGACTGATAACAAATGATAGTTAGAAAGGACTTCAGAGGGCAGGAGCCATTCAGAGTGTTACACACTTTATTTCCCCAGGAAAACCTAGCACTTTGGCGGCTTGTGTGGAATATGAAGGGGTCGTGGATATAGAGATAAGGCGGATTGAAAAAATATACTAGAATACAATACTAGTGTTAAACACTGTGCAAAATCAGCGCCATGTATGCCACGTGAATAGAACAAAAGTTGGTTTATCGCGTTTTTCCTTCGCATTGCAGCAAAACTCCAACNGCCAATGATTTGGCAATATTGCTTCTTCACCGTAAAAGCAAAAGGGTCGTGGATGAGCCTCTTAATTACTGTTATCATTAGTTGTCATTCATTCGTGAGTACTATTCATGGCTTCTTTGGCTAGTGGAGTTGTACAGTATCAGAAAGGTTTTTGCGCCACTAAAACCCGTAAAGGAAAGAAACTCTTATTGTCAGTATTACTATATTATTATTTTAGACTAATCCAAGTAGGCTTTCGTTTCCTTACACCCAATAATTAATTTTAGACCGTTTGAAGGGCATTTGATGGAGATGAAAACACGTATGTTGCTTCTTAATTTCAATGTCGAGTCCATTCGGGAGCCCGCGGACCAATTTTTCCGAGTAATTTCAATAAACTTCCGATGTACACTTGCTTGTTTATGAAAAAATTCATTCTTTCTATATTCAGCAAGCACTTCTCTCGGATGCAATGTTGATATATCCACCGTCGCAAATAGCTTTGGCTGCTCTGAAATATGGATTGGATTCACTCGGTATCACCGTCTTTAAATGGAGTAATTTCAGTTAAGAAATAATTGAGTTAAGTAGATTCTAGACAAGTCTCCCGACGTTCTCACTGAATTTCTACAGAAGCTCATGGGTATTGAAGATGATTGGAAAGGAATGCATGGAGATGCTCTTCATACTATTGAAAAGCTCATAAACAGGTGCGTATCACTATTCTACTATTAAGACTAACAATTTTAAGGAGAATTTGCATTCTCGCTTTGTATTTTTTGGTTTTCAGCTAATTTGGAAGAGTGAGCATTTCAAATTGACATTTTTTGAATCTTGTGATGATATTTTTTCTCTATATTTTATTCAGTAGGTGCTTGGTACTTAACAGAAACGCTGTGAATCTCGATGTTATATGACTTCAAAATTTATTCGTACTTGTTTGAATAAGAGCTAAAGGGTTCCCCTCCTAGACTTGCCGATATTATCGAAGTTGTCAACAGTATTCCGAGATCTTTGACTCCTGAGGAGCAGGCTTCTATCCAGGTGAACTACTCGAGCCACATCAATTATTCTGTTCATTGTCCTTATGTGAAAACTTTGAAGGCAAGGACTGATGATTGGTCTGCTCTAAACACTGCTCTGGAGGAACGTCGTCAGTCCCGTCCAGGCTATATGAAGAAGGAAGAACCGGTGGATTCGGATGACGAAATGTAACGTGCACTATCATTCCGAATCGGTTTGGGTTATTTGTTGTGTAATTTTTGCTTGTCCGGTGTTGTTTCTGAGATCTTGTTGAACGTTCGTTTTCCAGTCATGATGTCGTAAAGATACAAATGTGAAGCAGGTTGTTGTCCTATGGGACTGACTGCGATTTTATAATCGCACATAATTACCAAAAGAAAGAAAAGAAGGGTCCCAAAAAAAGTTGACCGTTTATGATGGAACACACCGCAGGAATACACTTGGAGATGAACTTCTAATCCCGTAAAACGATTTGTCCGACCCCTTTTCAGGTCAGGAGTGATTGAGTCCGTCGATTTACGGCAATGGTTATAACGAAATACTGATCATAAAGCACTTTGGCCACCGCAACAATTGCATAGAGATTTTGCAGGGTGCAAAGAATTCATACTGGTGATGAGGATCACTGTTTCATTTGTACTCATCTGTTCTTTGAATTTCATGAATATGCCATTTATCTTCCCACGAAGCAGCCGTTCAAATGAACATCGCAATAAGGTGAAGCTAAAATAGACAAGGCAACAAGCTTTGATGAAAAGTTCAGCGGAACGGAAGCGAAGTGTGCTTAAACTCTGTCAATGATGACACTTTCAGCCAAAGCGGGAAAGCTCGTGCTGTGACGCATTTTAGTGTTCACTCTTTTACAAAAGCTACATTCTGAGTAGTGGAAACATCCAAAGCAGCTTGTAAAGTGTCAATTTGCAAAGGGGTGAAGGCAACTTTCTTATGAATGGTCGGAATTCTCAAAGATCTGACTTCAAACGAGATCATAGTTTCAGACCAGAGATTTGTTACCTGCTGTTATTTGCTGTAACAAACATCAAGTCAAAACTACACTGCGTTTCTTTTTGATACGGCCATTGGTGAATTTCGCCGAAACACACGTTCCAGGGCCCTAAAGGAAAGGGTTTACTGTGGAAATTGTGCACTCCTTCCACTTTAGAGAGTTGACCACACTATTTTCATTACCACTAGCTACCTCTTTTTCCCGCGTCTAGAATGTATCTGAATTAGTTATGATTTTTCTATTTTAGCCCCGCCCCCTCAGGTAAACCCCGCCCACCTACGGGGTTTGACCACATTTATTCTATTACATCTTACCATTTTCCCCGCGTCCTGGAGTGTTTCTAGACTGATTTAGGTTTATCTTCGAAAAGCAGCCCCCATTTTAAAGCACGTTCCGCCCGCGGTGGGCGGTGTTTGGCTTACTTTACGCATGAGCAGCGCCCTTAAGCCTTGCTCATTCCTTTTATTTTTTTTCTGGCCTGCACGCCTTTGTTGAATCAGGCTGGGAAACTGTGTGGAAAGCACTGCCCACTGCAAGATCGCTCTGCCCACCACCGGTGAATGTCCTTCATTTCATTTGTTTACCCATCCCTCACCTTTATTCATTCTTTCCCACAGTCTGGACTGTACCATACCATGGTCTGGTATGACTGTTCGCGCGGAGTTTTGCCAACGTAAACTAAAACAGGCGAGGAACATTTTCACACTTAAAAACAACGACGATGTCCAAGTAGATCAAGCATTAAGCGTCAACTACTCAAGCTTAGAAATTCACGAATCTCATGCTGATGAGTTGCGCTACCTACGAAAGTGTTCTATTGAAAGCAATTTTGGCGAATGGATAGAAGTGGAAAGCAAAGAACGCATCACAGAAAAAAAAANAAAAAAAAAGAATTCTCACAACAATGTCTTTCCGAGCTACTCCTGAAACCATGACGCAATGGTTCCACGTTTTGTTTTTGGACGCACCATAGATTTACTCTGCACAATTCTTACCGTGTTATATGCGTGGATAAGACACCATCGCTACTTTTCTAGTTTCTCTCATGAAATTCGGAAAAGCATGGTGATCCCATCGCAGTTGGTCGCTTCGTTTTGAAATCTAAGGGAGAAAACAGGGACATTATAAAAACAGAGCTGTAAGCTATCACTGATGTCTTGGAAAGTGAGATTTTAACAGAACTTATACAACTGTAGTGCCATTTCTTCCTCTGTGACTATTATATAACCAGACCCAAAGCTGAACGGTGTTCTACACTGAGGAACACTATTGGGATCACCTTCATAGATGAAATGCAAGTGGCATCTGAAGATGCTCAAAAGCTCTAATCTTAACAAGAACTGCAATTTAACGAGAGACCAGAAAGAAATCCTCTTCCTTGAAGGAATCAATTAGGGCTCATACTGTAGCTAGTAACACGCTGAAATATCGCCATAAGAGATTACAACAATCATATCGCACAACCGAAGGGATCGATTCTCACCGAGGCGAGCTAAGTGAGCAATCTAGACAACTCCGAGATCTACAAAAGAACGACACTGGTTGCCTACTTCTTCTTCTTCTTTTCGATGCTTGATGTCTGAATATTAAATTTCTAGTAACGTAAACAAACAAGTGAAGCGACTTGAAATAATAAAGTTACTTGAATAGAGCCTAGCGCGATCTTTTTCTTGTCTTCTTCGCTGATTCCTTCGACTGTTTCAGGACCACCCGTTAGCCGATTTCGCAGCAATTTCTGCCGCATGAACTGAAAAGAAATTTCCTGAAGAGCAGAAGTGCATATGGGCAGAACCGTAAACCTCAAGGCTCATCACTTTGAAATTGAAAGATCAGATAGCTCACCAGTAGGCAGCGTTTAACAAATAGGCTTGCAACGTAAAAATTAACAAAACGAGTAACTGAAACTTGCTTTAAGTTGTTGCAATTACTGAACATAGATTAGTTCACCTATCCTTCGTACGAACTCCATTCACTTCAGCCTGAAGCCCGCCAACCTCAACAATCTACCCTTTCAGCTTTTTGAAGCTCTAGTATTTTCGTACAGTCTTATGCTATTCACTATTTCTCAGCCGGCAGCTGTTCTTGGATACCCAGTATGGCCTTGGATTACAGATCTGGTCAACTGTTGAAGGCATTTGGTCTCTATTCTTTTGTTAGCCTCGATCGACTGTCATCTCAACAACTGAACTTCTTCGGAACCTTGTTATATACTTTTAATTTCTGTAAACTCCGCCCCTCTTGCTGTTTCCTCCGAGTGACCATGTGAACTGTCTTCTTCTGCCAAAAAAGGGTGGCGGTCGGGAGAGAGCGGGCAATATGGAGCGTGCGGTCAAGAGCACGAGGTCTTCCATTGTCGTAACGTGTCATGTATACTTTATCGAGTTCCGGTAAATGATATAAGATTTTCTCACCTGTTGCAACAGTACGCGTTTACATCGCTGCTTCACTGCTAGCGCCACATCAAGCCAGGTCCAGTTTCTTTCATGGAACTCACATAGAGGAAAAAGAAAACTGAATCTATCCACATCTTCTATGTTCTTGTCCTTATTGCCCTGAAGCTCGAATATCCTTTACTCTCAGAGCATTTCATAAGAAAACCACGTCATAAAAAACAAACCTTATAGGACACTACGAATGGAACTTCAGGAATTTTTATATATACAAAAAAGTTATTATTGTCGGCTCGTTCCCGCATTTTATCAATATCTGTGAGCTCTACATCAATAGATTGCTTCCCGCTGATCTGAAAGGACTTGCTTTAATATCCAATGGGACTAATTTTCATAAGATGAGGAAGAATGAACGTCCAACTTTCCGGTGGTAAACTTACCTTCCGATCAACTTGCCCCGCTTTATTACTGCGCATGCTTAGAGTGCCAGCGAAACGGCGAGTGAATGAGAATTTCTGAAAACAAATAGTTCTGAAGTTGCGCTCTCCTTCCGGACCACACCAAATCAAATTCCATCGGAACCAAACAATAATGATTTAGCTCGTCATAGCCGAGACCTGCTGAAGTCGTAACTGTTCAATTTATTCATCCCTAACTTGGCTACTCGCAGATTCGCTCACATTATGCCCATTTCGCGTACGCCCCGAAATACAATATCATTACTATATATAAAGCGCTGTCTGGCTGTCTGTTTGTACGGAAATTCGATATAACCTGAAGAAGCACCTGGAGAAGTCGAGTCAAGTTCGGAATGGGTTGAGCATAGAGTAAGTGCAGCAGAGCACATATGAGATTAGCGGAGCTCCGCCCCCTAAGGGGCGGAGCATGCGCCGGGATTGTGCGGGATCATGGGCGAATTCTTCTAATTCGGTCTCATAACATTCCAGACGCCGGGAACAAATGTGCAAAGGTAAGGGATGGGTCAACAACTGAAATAAAGGAAACTTACCAGCAGTAGGCGGAGCGTTCCCGCAGTGGGCGGCACTTTCATAACTCAGTTCAACGAAGGCGTCGAGGCCAGGAAAAAAATAAAAAGAGTGAGCAAGGTCTAATGCGTGCTGGACATGCATAAGCATAGCGAAGCCCCGCCCATGATGGGCGGGGCGTGCGTTGAGGTGTAAGCTACTTTTCAGAAGTGAGTGTAACTTCGTTCGAAAAAGTTATAGAATGCGGGGAAAAGTGGTTAGAGGTAATAGGACAAATGTGGTCAAGTCCTCGAATTGGGCGGGGCTGGCACCAGAGTGGGTAGGGCCTGGATCAAAAACTTATAACTATTCAGAAACATTCTGGGATGCAGGAGTGGTTAGATGAAGTAGAGCAAATGTGGTCAGATCTCAGAAGTGGGCGGAGTTGGTACCAAAGCGGGCGTGGCTTAGATCATAAATTTATAACCCTGTGCAAAAATGTTCTGGGATGCGGCAAAAAGGTGATAAGTTGTAAAAGAACAAGTGTGGTCAAGTCCCAGAAAAGGGCGGGCTTAGATCAAAATTACTAGGTCTCTTCAGATGCGTTTTAGAGCGCGGGGAAAAGGTGTCTGGAGGCGATCAAAGTAATGCTGTCCGAAGTCTGAAGTGGGTAGGGTTCGCGAAAAAAAANGGGGGGGGGGCTGAGATCAAAAATTAAGACGTCTGTACTTCACACTAACCCTGATCGAATAGGTGTACAACTAGAGGATACCATGACTCTTTCAGAAATTAGGCTGAAATTTTTCTAAAAGTCAGTGTCTGTGGTTCCACACACAGAAGTCCCTTCTACACAAGAGCAAATGCACAACATTAATTTCAGACCCCGTAAAATAGGTTCTACAGTAACCACGGCCTCACAGGTGCATACCCTGTACAGCCGTGTAAATCCCTACAACTACCCAAAGGGGCTTTCCTTTCAAAGTTAGTGTTTAAGGCCACACACAGCCCAAACTACACAGAGTTTGTTCGATTACATGGACTGCGGAGGTATTTGATTTGGACACATCGGAGTACTCTTTATGGCCACACACAGCCCCATTTCACAGTACTCTTCGTGACCACACACAACCCGAACCAAAATATTAATTGATTAAGATCGAAAAAGGTTGAAGTCATTGCTTGATTAATCCCCGTCGCCCTTGCTGAAGAATGTTGTGTATACAAAAGTGTTGCTTTGATAAATTACATGTTCCAATATCAAGTGTTACGTATGGCATGCTAATTCTCCAACCGAGTTGAACAAACTTTTCTATTGCACATCAAACACCCTTCTTCAACTGCTTGCCGGTCAGTCCGAGATTTCGTGATCTAGCGAAAAAATTCCATGCTTCCCATAAGATAAAAAAATGATGCCCGCTACAGAAGTGTCAGGGAATAGGTTCACAGGATAAAAGTCTATAAACAAAATCAAAAGTCGGTAATACATACACCAGTCGGACAGAGCCCGTCCTACGCCGGCCTCCCCTTTTTCCGTATTAAAATTGGCCCACAGCCTGCACGACCTTCATATATGGGCGCTCTGACCCGGGTGAACAGGAGCTATTGATCTCCGGCCAAACATATGCACCAACACCCCACTCAGTTCCTGCACGTCCTTGAGTGAGGTCCTGCTCAAGTCTGTGTGTTTATGTACTCGCTTCATTGTCCATTTATTCCAATTGATTTCGCATTTTTACCTAAATTGCGCTCATTTTACACACGTCTCGCTCTATCCCTCTATCCGCATTCTCTCGTTCCCACTCCCCGTGGGTGGAGTTCAGCTCAGCCACTTCCTACCACCTAACATAAGTGTTCCCGTACTGCCACCTGTACCCCTTGTAGGTCATAGCGCTTCATAGTTATTTCAGCAGTTAATACTCATGGTAGGTGGAAAAAATAACGTGTGGTGAAGAGGCTATAAGAATAATTATTCGTATTATATTAAGTTCTAATCCAATCTGCAATATCCGCTATTAAAAGTTCACATACAAGAATATCAGTGCCGTTGAAATTAACCTACCGGTGTCCCCTCGTCAACAGAATCGAGATTATCTTCTTTATGAATATTACGTCCAGGGAAAAAGAACAACATCATTTTTTCGAAAAATCGGTAGGTGAGCTGAGCAACCATGGGCGCAATGTTCACTTCAAATAACTCTTTCACGCATATTCCACCAACTGAAAAAAACGTATAATTTAGTATATAGGGATAAAGCTTGTGAGAGAATACAAAATAGTAAAAAGTCGAACCTGGGGCCATATCGCGAACCATGAGCCTTATGGAAGGTTGTCGCGTTTGGACTCGCTCATCTCTGGAAAAGGCAAACACAAATTCAAAAATGTCTAGGGTTACTGTTACAAATCCCAAAGCGGAATCACCGGTGAAGCGTGTCCCGGTAAATTGTGTCCGGAAGAAGGTTCGTCACTCGCAAAGTTCCAACCTAAAAAGCAACTGGTATGAGGGCAACACCTACCATAGCATGGAGATAAAACTAATGAGGTGCCATCTCCAGAGTTTCTTTATACCTCACCTCAAACAAATGTTCTCCTGAGCTATCAATGCGCACTGTTCTTGTATATCTATAAAGAGTTTTAAATGACTACAAATATTAACTGAGTGGAAGAGCTAGTAACATATTAAGAACAATTTCATCATGGAAAGTTATGAGAAGGATCAATATTTCACTGGACAGCTGTAAAAATGCCTTGACCTATAGTGAAGTAATTAGGCGATTCACCGAAATTCGTTGACGGACTTGAAAACCTTTGGAAACTACAATATAAAGAAGTGAGACCACTAAATTGTAAATGGAATTAGCCATCTAGCAGGTGATCTACCTGAATAATAACAAATGAACGTACAGAAAGTTCCTAATCTGTATTTGAGCTATTGCGATTTGCCCGTCACACTCTGTCAGTTTCCAAATACAGTCCTCGAAACACACCTGAAACGACGGTTGTAAGTTTTGTAATTACCAAGATCAGGTCTTCCTCAGCACTAGCTCAATCTTGAAGTTGTGCTTGGCACGTGCATGCATGAGTTTGTTTTCGGAAAAACGGATCTCTTCACCGTTCACGCGTCCTTCAGTGACACTATGAAAAGAACTCCTAAGTGGTTGCCTTCATAGTCCGCCGGCGTGCCGGCCGAGGTAGTGATGTGAGAAAGGGAGGCAGACGGGACCGGTCGACGCGGTCACGTCGCGCCCAAGCCCCTTCGAAGGGCAAATGCAAATTGTTTTGATCTTGTTTTTCTTTGTTTTCAGCCCCTCGAAGGGGCTTGAGCTCGACCGCGTCGACTGGTCCCGTGAAGTATCGTAGGGCACAGGTAGTGTTCAAGCTGCCACGCGGGACTTTCTTCTTCTGTTCCAAACACAGTATGGTAGTACGCCTTTATGAGTTACGGACAATAACTACCCACTTACAGTCTGTCACTGTGACTTGTGTGGAGAAAGAGCAGTCCTCTGATTTCTTCAACTAGGCAAACTTGTGACTGAACGATTGTTGCAAAAGCAAGAAGCGACTGGCTCCTTCTCCTCACCTGCCTTTATACTGTATGACAAGCTTATCTCATGAAATCTAACAACATAGTCGGCGCCCGCAAGCTCAAGAATCTTCAACATTGTTGNAGTGGAGTTCAATATCGTTCAATGCCTTTAAACATCCGACCTCATACAATATCAATTCGCAATGTAATAGACTGATTATTCACAACCTTCTTTTTTGGTCACAGGGCGTTCAAACTATCGATTAACGAAGAAAGTATTATGAAAATGTCACAGCAATGATTTCGACAGCTCGATATCGAACAACATCAAGCTGTAGTGACCACATGATAAGTAACCCTCCCTACCAACTTGAACTGTTCAACTATTTGGAGAGTTGGAAAAGAACACTGTATTATTGTGCAAAATCTAGGGTTAGATAAGTTGGATTAATAGATCGAGACGATTGCTAAGCAGCAAAACGATACCTCAAACCTTCGGGCAACAGCAGCCAACATATCTTCTTCTTCCAACTTACTGCAGACGGTTGCACGAGCGGCTTCCACTTGGCGTTGTTTATAACAACTGAACATTTTGATTCAGCATAGCATACGAGGGTACTAGATAAATGGACAAACCTAATGAAAATGGCTAGTTTGTCAGAAACTTCCAGTTGTCTTGCTTTGTTCTCCTCCATCTCTTCAACAATTTCCTCTCGTTTCTGCTCTTCTATATTCCCACTGGGCTGAGTATCCAAATAGAAGAGCTGCCGTTCCAGTGACCGCACAACCGAAACGATTTCGCGAAGCTCGGACTGCAAAGTGCTAATACTTCTACAGGGTGTCCCCAAAATTATGGCCATCGAACATCGGGATTTAGAAATTTTCAAGGCAGATTAACTGCACAAGTAGGTTTTCTTGTAATAATGCATGTTACCGAAGTGAAACTTTCAATATCTCTTAAATGGTGGAGACTCATTTAAGGCCATCTGCAGTCATTGGCATGCGACAGGCGGAAGGGTATCATGAAATTCCTTCTTTGTGATTTCCATAATATCCGCAACAAGGCCATTTGACGATACAGAGATTAAATTCAATCGGAGGCAAACCAGGAAGGGGAAGAAATCCAATGTTCTACAAGTAGAACTATTAAAAATGGTCCGTTTGAAAGTCGATCGTGATTCTTGGTCACCCATCAAAAAGACGGCCAAGGAGCGCGAATTACCGAAGGGAGGGATTTTCATGAAACCGCCCACTGGGGCGCGACATCAACGGAAATTGCTCGTTTGGAGTTAGGGCGTCCGAATTCGGATTGGATACGCATGATGGGAACACTAATGGCAGGTGGCGACTGGACACCGTCCACTGGAGGTGGAGCGTGTGAAAAAATTGCTCTCTGAAGCTAGAGCATTCAAATGTAGAAAAGATGGGAATAGGCGACGGGGCTGGACGACGGAGAACGTAAAACCCGTAGTCGACAATTCTGTCCAAAAGCTTTTCAGATTATGTAAACCAGCTTTGCTCCCTGCCGCTAGGGAGATTCGCGTGTGGTGGGTATTACGCTGTAGGGAAGTTGGCCGATGTACCGAATTGCTATACCCATCTGTTGCGCAACTTACCGATCAGTGGCCGTTTATTTCTTCTAGTGGTACAGTGTTCCAACTCTGAGAATGTTAAGAAAATGTGGAGGGAATATAGCTGTAAACGCAGCGATCGATAATGAAACCGATTTTGGACAGTTTCGATTTTTACAATTCAATATAGAGCTGCTACACACTGTATTTTTTTTTTCGAGGAAAGGTAAGGAGTGATGTAGGCATGTGATATGTTGGTGTGTGTGTTAGTGCGCTTGCCGGTGTGTCGTTGACTGGAAAATCAGAACTTCTGTTCTCGTGGAGCTAGATCGTTCAAATTCGGTAGGAGTAGGAGAGGCACGATGGAGAGACCGATCGTAGGTGGCAGGACTGGAATCTTTCTGAAAAAAGGCGCGAGGTGCGCAATAACTGGTAAGTTGGACGTGGGTCGTTCAGATCGTAATGGGAATGGATATTTCAAATAATGCCAGTAAGTGGTACGACTAGACCTCACATACAGGGTTCGGCGTCGCATACATTATGAACTAAGATCGTTGAATTTGACAGGGGTACAAGTAGCACAATGGGAAGGCTGCCGCTAGGGGATACGACTAGACTCCACTCACAAAGGTGGGGCGTCCACGAAAATTGTTAACATAGACCAATAGTGGTAGAGGCAGCAGTACGGGATTGCTGACGACAAATCAGGTGACACGACTGAAGATAAAAGAAGAGGAGAGTGAACCAAGGTAAAGGAGTCGGGGACACACAGCTAAACACACATGGGTTGAGCAGGATGTGTGTGTTGGGTGTATGTGTGTATGTATGTGTGTATGTATGTATGCGTGGATGTATGTGTGTGTATTTAACTAGAAACCTATGATTCATGTTCTCCTGTATCGGGGCGTGTAGATTTGGATCGGACATGGGCACCCTTTTTTTTCTACCAAAACTTTCTTTTTTACAGTTACCGACACTACACATACCAACCTGTTGTTCTACGATCTTCTCCCTCATCTCGTTCATATTCATCATTTGACATGCGAATCGAAGTTTCCTTCTGCGCTCAGCTAGCTCCTTCTTTTTCGGGTCAACGAAAAGTACCAGGTTGTTGACAATATCCACCATCATTTCATACTGCAACAAGTCTTACTCTGTGATGAAGATAGGAAAACGAAATGAAGAAATACTAAGCTGGAATCAGAAGAATTGGTAAGTACTTACCTGCTCTGAATTACTACTTGCTTCTAACATATTGTGCTTAAGTGTAAAGCAATCTACACCGGTCTCATCACCACCAATGGCACTTTCCTGCTCGACCTAAAAATTCATTCTCTAAACAATGAGAAGCCATTCTGTGCTGAACGAAATTCATGTGAAAGTAATGGAATTTGAGTCCAGAATGTAATTTTAATCATTCATCGACTTATTGATATGGTTGTTTTAAGATGGAAAAGAGAATTTGAGAAATGTTCTCGTTAGCGCTCATTTTCAAAACCACAGTAATGAGATTATTTGAATAGCATTTTGTTATCAAGAGAAGGCGAGCGGACTTAATTTCCATAATCTAGTGTTACATAGGGTAATGCTTGCTAACCCCTCGGTTGCTTTTTCATTTCATTTTTTCTGTTCTTTCTCGAATATATTAAAATACTCTACTATTATATACAGCATNAATTCCAGGAATTTGCCTAGAGAGTAGAAGAGGTGACAATCTGAGGGCAAGGCCAAGACTACATCGTGAGAAAGAATTATCCAGGCTTGAGTCACCAATTTTCCCTGAATTTCTTTGACAATGTGGTTCAAGTCTCTCCATGGGAAAGCTGAACACTGTTTCATTCTCGATCCAACTTGCTGACCACGCGATCAAGACATTCACAGCAGGCACCCACATTTATCGTAGCCTGTCAAGCAGGAAATCTTAGCGCGCAACTCTTTCTACTTTCCATCAAGAAGACAAAGTCATTTGGATAGGTTTGGCCTCGTTTAGGAAATCCTTAATTGCAAAGGCTTAGCCATTGCCGCGTGCAGAACTGGCTGACACTCTTAGAGCTGGTTACCATGTTGGATAACCAGTCGAAAGCACGATGAAATGTCAAAAGGAAGATGGCCATATCAGTTCGAATGAGATGGTGTTTGTGGTTCAACAATATGGAATCCAAGATCCACTTTTTCAGATCTTTTCTAGTTCGAGGAGCTGGCTCATCAATGTTGTCTTGCTATCTTCGGAGCACCTACCAAACATCGGATATTTGCTCGGTACCTTAAGCAACGTCGCGAAAGGTACTGAAGCTAAGAGTGACTGTTTTATGGATAATATTCATAGAATAAGACCTCATTTTTGAGCCGAGTGTAAGACTGATACACCGCGATTCGTCTGAGTGTCCTCGCCCGTAAACTGCTTGACTTTCTATACAGCCTCGAATTCGAATACTTTCAGAAGGTGTTCTTGAATACAAGCTCGAAGTGCTTCATACAGCAAGATATCATTCCCATAAGAGCAGTGAGGGCACAATCCTATGGATAAGACAAGATCTTTGTAGCAATCAATGCGAGTGGGATAAGAATTATGTGGCAAGCAAATATAATTGTCATGTTTCCAGTGGTGACCGAAACAAAGTAGTTTCCACAAAGCGCTAAGAGAATCATGAATAACTTCAACCGGAAATGTGAGAGATGCTGATTCTCTATCAAAAGCAAGAGAGCTCGTGCGTTAGAAAGGCACAGTTCACGATAAGAATAGTATCTGAAGTTTCTTCACAGGGTGAATCCGAAGCCTTCTTATATTCTATATCTGGCGCTATCAGGTCGAAAAACGGCCTACTTAGGACGTTATAAAGGCTTAAAGATTGTCCCGTGTGTATCCTAGGATGAGTTTCACCGGCATTGTAGAGGTGTACTATTCGCAATGGAACTCACATATGAAGCTTAAACAACTTGTCATGACCCATGACGATGGTAAAAGACAGCTCTGGACAATTATGGCCGATGTAGTCAGTTCTGTGCGCAGTTGCAACGAATGAAATCTCGTCCAAATGTCCCTTCCATGTCATTTCCGATATGATATCTGGTGCAATCCCTACTTTCGCTACTGTTGAGAAACCTTACTTTTCGCGAAATCGGCGAATTTCCTTAGTTCCTTCATCATCGATGCGCTAATCCCAAGCGGTATCCCGCTTTATGACTTGGAAAAAACCTCGAAATTATCGTGAACTGTCTTCGAGGGCGGTATAAGCTGTAGGCCACCCGCCATTACGATTACTTGTCTAATTTCTGTTGACTTTCGCTATTTATATACACGAATGCAAGATCGTGTCCCGTGTGTATCCTAGGACGAGTTGCATGCAAGCGTAGGAACCCCCCTTTCTGAATCGGTTAAAATCGTTTTCAAAATTCTGAAGGATAAGAGACGTACGCCTGCGAACACAACACTAGAGACGGTTGAGCTGACTTTCATACCGAGCCTGAGAATTCAGAAGTTTCTGCATTTTGGTGAATGATGAAATTTCCGACACGGAAGCCTTTGAGCCGAAATCTCCTATTATCAGTCTGCTGTACAACATCACAATCATATCAAGCCTCGCCAGGTCGTCGTTATTAAGGGCACAGTTCACTATAAAGACGGTTTCTCATATTTCGCACTCGTACACCACAGGTGGTACTACAAAGTTGGAAAACGGCCTAGATTGGGGTCATAATGGCTCAGAGATTGTAAGCGGACTGTATACCACACATAAAAGCAAACGAATTTAAGGGCGTTCGAGGGCTGCACCGTTCACAAGGAACACCCATGTTGGAAGTTCAAACAATTGGTCGTCATCCATACCGCAGTAGAAGGCAGTTTTCAGCATTTATGGTCCAATGTAGTCAGCTTTTTACGCAACTGCAACAACTGAAACCTCGTCCGAACACTCCTCCCATGCCATTTCCGTCATTTTAATTTCGTACAACCTCTACTTTCGCTACTTTCAGGAAGCTTAATCTTTTTTCAAATCAGCAGATTTTCTCGCTTCTCTCGCCACCGATACGCTATTCTCCATCAACATTTCCGCTCTTCAACAACCTCAAAGTTTTAGCTCGACTTTATCGTGAACTGCACCTTCAAGTCGGCCTGCATCAAGATGGCCAAAGCACGATAATGCCTAGAAGATAAAAAAAGTTGACCGGATTTAGGCGGGAAACCACCACATCAGCCTCCAATTTCACCATCCGAATTCAAATTCTCGCAAACATTCGAGTGTACTTCTTCAGAAGTTGAAGTTTCGCAAAGTAACCACTCATATATAGAGAAGAGACAAATATCTTTGAATGCTCAGTAACAAAAATTACGTAACCACCACTCATACTCTCATCGTTAACAGTTGCAGAAAAGGCATTGCAGAAAGTTTAACAACGGAAAAGAAGGATAATATCAGAAAAAGAATAGAAAAGAAGGAGAATATCGGAAAAAANAAAAAATAGAAAACGAGAATATCAGAAGAAGCATAGAAAAAACGATAGCACCGGAAAAAAATGCGCCCTACCTTAGGAACCCCGGTCTCCTCTATCGCATCTGTTTTGAGTTCTTCAGAAAAGTAACAGAAGTATATCTCACAGCTGCATCTGGAGACAATTCTTTGCAGTTGAACTTTTTCTGATGTCTCTTCTGCTTCCACTACTCCACCTACAGCTTCCCCTGCACCAATGTAAGGGTGCAGGTAAGGATCACCTATCACACCTGCGGGAGTTTTTTCTTCAATCACCTGAAATAAAAAGGTTATTTTTGAATAGAACTAATGATGCAACAAGTTATAGAAGCTGCGTTTCATTATGTCTTTGATGTTCGTAAAATATTAGTTGTTCAAAGGTATTCGAAGAGACCTATCCCAACAGAGGTGTACTAGGGCCAATAACGGTAAGTTGGCCCGAGGATCACAGATAGGCAGATGCAAAGATATGCGGAAATTCTATGTCGGACAACGCCGAAATCGGTGTAGCATAAACAGGAAGACAACACAGAAACATCAGTCTTCTGCTCTAAAGGGATCACCTCTCTCGTTAGCCATCTAAACGACTCTACTGTACGTCCGTGCACAATGGATATAGGGGCAAAATATTGCATGCCAGATATTATCGAAGACCATGACTTTTTTCCCAACAGCTGTCCATTACGCCATACACAACGGTGCACCTGAATGGTATTAAGTACAAAATGCAAATTGAATGCGAATGCAAAACCTCAGGTTAGAGCAAAACTTAAGGAAATCTCACTTTCTGAGTCACACTAGCCCGTGCAGCTGTTAATAACACAAATCCAGCTCGTTCGCAGCCTTTCAGCACAAGTTGGCTATTCAATAAATCGACTGAAATAGGCAGCAATACATGTAAAGCCAATGCCAGCTTTAAAGTAGGGAAGCAAGAAATACTGTAATTTGATAGCGTTGTTTTCTAAACTGCTGATTGTTCAGCTCGCAATATATCACAGAGGCTTCTCTGTTTTTGTAAAGGCGCTAAGCCGAAACTAGACTAGAACCATTGCTTGTACTCTGCGAGCACCGTACTATTGCAAAACTGATACCCAGGCGCTCTCCCCCAGCTTCTCAATGTTGTATTCAAAACAGCTGCCAAATGTACGATGATATCAGCCCGTTGATATTGACATTGAACCATGAAGCTGTTAGCTTTATCATATTACTCGCAATGATTCATTCTTTATGTTGATCATTATTTTCACGTCGTACGATGGATGCTGAGCTATGGGCAAAACCCTGTTTCGAACTAGAGCGCACCCCTAGCTGTTTACGGGTGGCGCGTTCGTTATCCTCGCAAATGCGAGACCTTTCTTGGTTTCGCAATCTTAATGACTCTTGGGTCTAATTTAGCTTATCGGGGCTCACAAGTACAACGTTGTGAGCTGGTTAGTCGACAAGTTTGCAAACTTTTGATTATACATTACATTCGTTATATGCTCCGGAAGTGCAAAAGATGAACAGCATAGCGCCCGAAAATAGACTAAGCGCCTCTCGGGGCTGAAGTTTTACCTATAACATTGAAAACGTTTGATGATTTGAGCATCACGAACAGCAAAACAGAATTATACGAATTGTTAAATTGAGCATATGCCTAAAGTAAACCGATTATCTACGACATACGTAACGTGATCCGCTCTCATTGTTTCGTTAACAGCTGGTCAGCATCGCTGCTACCGTATGGTGTCATCACAAATTCGTCATTACAACAAAAAAAAATGAACTAGGCAAGTCAAAGATTACTATGATTACAAGAATCAACGCCAATATCGGAACGGCTCACTCAACTATGGGCTCTGATTGGTATTTTGCATATATAATGGTCATATGCACTCACTTTGCCAATTGATGTTGCGAACATCGTCAGATGTACACTGCAGTGCTCCTAACAACGAATCTGTTGGAAGGTCTCCAGCCTATAAAAAAATTCACATGGAGATTGAAATTGATGCAAAATTAATGATGGTATTTTCATTAAAAAAATGAAATGAAAAAACGCGTCCGAGGAGCTATTTGCTTTTAAAATCATGGGAACTAGATCAATTTCAGAAAGGCAGTGTTTCAAGAGGGAAGAACGAGATTATCGTTTTCTAGTTCAACTAGGAGACAAGCGATCCTTCACACTAGCTCATAACTTCATTTCTCCCATATGATAAGCGATCGGAAGGGAATGTTCAAACGGAATTAGGGAGCGCACCTAGGGCTGTTTCACCGGTCAATAATCAAGAATGGTCAGTTACATACAGCGATTTTCAGTGTGGAAACTATTTCAACGAACTCACTTGTTCACAATGAGCTACAAGTTTCGTATTAGCTTCCCCTATCAACTGGTTGAGCAGCGACTGGTTTTGATCAGACATACTATAAACACGACGGTGGCCATCACCTCCTTTGGTTGCTGAACCGTCGCTTGACGGTACATTGGATGAAGAGGATTGGGCTTCTTCTTCCATATGTAACTGTAATTATGCATGCTAGATTTCGAGAGATCGGCTTGTATACTTATCTTCTCAACCATGCTAACAAAATGAGAGAGCCCCAAAATCGAGTCACTTTTAAAATCTTTAGAGCATCGTTACTGAGTATTCGACGAAGCATATGAGCTCGATGTACTCCGTCTGCTATTGATATACAAGCATCGCGATTCTGTGCAGTCCAAGAAGCCTGAAATCATGATAATCGAGTTTTGCAACCTAGAATTGATTTTTCCCACTATAATAGAAACTGGTTCAGACAAATTTTGTGAATACGAGGAAATTTTACGCCACCTTCAGGTCATGGACAGTTAGCCTGTGCTGAGTTGCATCGCGTCCACGATTATTCTCCCGGACATACGATACCCGATTCAAGCCCAAGAGAAAAGTTTCCTCGTCGCTTGAAGACAGACCGTCAACAGATGGCGGATATCCATTGCTGTAGACATGCACCTGTATCAGTACGTTAGATGGATTTTCTTTCATTTCACACCAGCGAAGAAGTCATCACACCAGGCTTTATTGCTAGGCGGTTTGACCCACATCGTCAAAGAACAATAACCAACAAAAGCTCTAAGGCGTAAGGAAACAACCTGAGTTCCCCAAAGAGTGGCCGACACATGCTGTGGAATCCACACGTAAATTCGACGTCGCGTGATACCCTTGACCAATTGATTAGTGCCTGGGAAGCGAGTGCAAACGGAATTTCAATTGAAATAACGCACCGATTCCGCCTCAGCCTGAACTGTTAGCTTCATGGAAGCTAGCAGATTCAATCCATCGGATATGACACGAAAACCATAGTCTGACGAATGCGACATCCAATACGTGATGTAGAATCGTGGAAAATTCAACGAAACTTGTACATTTCTGAACAATTAAGAATTCGCATGAAGTATTCAAGTGCTTCACTTAAAGAATGAAAAGGCTCCTGTACCGGAAATGCTTCCCTAGTTGAGGTTTGGGATAAGAAGGAGTTCCAAATAGTCGGCCCTTCCGCACGTTTCGATTTTTCATTGTTAACGTATTCTGAAAGGCATGTTGAATGCTTAGTAGGTCCTCATAGTTATGAAGGGCAGCAAAAATCGAAAATCATCTATAAAAACGTCAAGGCAAAGGTTGATTTAGCGAGTGCACATTCATGTGGGTTATCGAATGTGATGAATTTGATGATGGTGATAAAACTATTGTACACCAGCTTGGCTGCTTACATTGTAAATGCGAAATTTGAGGGTGACCTTATATCTATGGAACGCGCTGAGTCTGAGGGATGTTATGAATAACCGGTTAAATACACAAAAAATCAAGATATATTATTGTTACCACTCAAACATTACGACCTATCCCACTACGCCTGAATTCCTCGTCTCTAAGAAAGCGAAGATGTGAAAAACACTCGTGCACATTGTGAAACGTTTTTAAAGAGAATTGTCGATCATTTATTTCACTCCGCCCGCTTTCATGGTGCCACTTAACATCATCTCATGTCATTTCTACCTGGATCGGAGATTTGAGATCAGGGTCCGGAAACACACTAGAGGGATTTCTCATTATTTCTTCCTAACAAACATTCCTTATATTCTAAGTAGTTTGCGTTGAGTAGGAAAGCAGGGCACACATGCTTGGGTGCCCTAAAAGCTGGATTCCTAGCATTAATTAGACCGATCACATAATACGTCGATCGACGCCGATGGCGACATCTAAACGTCACCTTTCGCCTTTTGCTGAGCTGCCCAACCCTGGGAAAGACGGCAAGTACATATTCAGCAGTGTTGGATCTTCGCGGAAAAACCGAAAAGCAGCGAGGAAAGATCGAAACTTACAAGGAGAAACTCGATGCAACGAAATGTGTTTGCATAAAGTAGAACGTGTGGAATGCGATCCCCAGTTTCACCAGTTTCAGCACCTCCGGCGACGTCGAAAGATAGCGAAAGATCAAGTGATGACGATCGAAAGGCACGAAACGAATCGTGATCCTGTGATAGAAATCATAACATGACAAACCTCGTGAGCTGCTTATTTGAAGATCTATGATAGGAAGCCTTTTCAAAATCGAGTATATAGGCAGGAAACCTATTTGGGTGTACATTCACATCACAGAAGCACAGTTTTCAACGTACCAAGAAAGAATGTGGTAGACGATGTGGCGCACAGAGGGTCACGGAATGGTGATCGTGCGGATCACCGTTACAAATCCAGTCTTCAAAAAGATAATCATAAGCTTGAACAGGAAGCTTGAAAAATACGCAAATAAATCCGATGGAATCGAGTATATATCAGCACAGAAAAGCTCACCTAGCACAACCCGTAGTCGAAGGTCCGGTAAAAAGAGAATACGAGAGTCATCGTAGCGGGACGCTGTGCGCATGAAAACACGTAAACCGGAGCGTATTCGTATTTCACCTAGGAAATTTTCCCTACATTTTCGATCATTGGGCACATCCACAAGTACTGAAGCAGAAACATTGAAAGAGAGACCAAACTAACCAAGTGCCCAGTCGAGCCCAAAGCCGTCCCAGCACATCTCCACAGTTTCCGTCGTGTTGTATGGATCAGGTGATGCTAGCATTGTTGTTATGACCTTAATAAAGCTTTCTGGATTAACTGCAATTGAAAAAGTGAAAAACAGTTACACCTACATTATATATTACCAGTCAACTCGCCCGACTAAGACCTGCCTCTTCCAGTTTTTGTTGAAATGAGCCGGCTGCCTGTACCCCCTCCACATTTGGGAATTCAGGGATCAGGAGATTACCAGTCCCGCCCCCCTTGGAAGAGCCCACTGTACCCGCACTGTCACGTGTACCTCGATCAATCTTGAACGCTCTACTTCCACGGGGATTTATATCTTTTCAGTAGTTTTGAATTTTCGCTCAACCACACATACTGACACATACAAACACACTACATATAAACACTCTTACTGCGCTACATACAGTAAGGTATACCTTTGAGCTTAACCATGAGAAGCGTCCGTGTAGTAGGAGGCGCATTTTGTCCCAGAAAGGCAGTGGAACAGAAGGATCTTTCGATGGTGCACTAATGTTGTTCCACATGAGACTGACCATTGAAAGGCATGGCTCCCAGCACGGTCCATATGTGGCGGAGAGATCCGCGCTTTCTAGAGAGCTTTTCTTGAGTCTTTACTTCCTGGCTAACAAAGTTAGAGGGCCGACCACAAGTGAACAAAAGCCTAACATCGTCAAACGCTCTAAACGTGAAATGTACTTTCTGAAACTCACCGCACTGCATATCATAGTAAAATTTCAATGGTGCCATGTTGCGCCGTACAGTGTGTGTTTCCCATGGAGCAGGCAAAGGTATTTCACACTCGCGAAAAGAACGACCGCTCTCTAAATCATAAACGTGTTGCCAAGTAGAATGGGTACCTTACTAGAAAACAGAGTCCAACGCTTGTAGCAAACCTTCAAGCTCTTCAGCGCCAATAAGAAGACCGAAAAAATGCGTGTCTTTGGCGAGTAGATAAGGAATGGGATAATCTTTGAAATTCACGGACCACTCTCCCATATCAAGTTCAACAGCTCTTCCCCACAAAGTGGAGAACTGCAGACCTCCGGCTGGATAAAAGCTGAATAATCAGGCTGCACATCATATTTCTAGAAAGTCGATACTTAATGGGAGTCAACATGTGTGTAAATGAATACCTCAAAGGATCAAACTCATGAATGAAGTTCACGCATTTCTCTGTGCCATGGAATGTTTCGTCAGCGAACGCTCGTAAATCCCAATCCACCCACTTAGAGACAAATAATGGCCTAAAGCAGGTTTATCAAATGGTAGCAGATTTTGAAAGGTATCAGAGATAAAAATTGTTTGCAACGAAAATTGTCTTCTCCAAAAACAGACCTCTTCGCACTCCCCGCTTTATTCCATCGTTCTATATAGATAGCGCTGTTCTTCTCCAGCAACATTGCGAACAGTTCATCAATTCTCGACTCTTTAACATCGAGGACTATATTGTTGTGAAGGAGAAGAAGATCGAAAAAGAAAAGCCCGGCACTATTTACCCTTTACTGCCCCACTTTCCCGGGAATGGGGTGGATTTCTATCGAATTTTTTTCAAGAAGATAAAACCGACTAGAAACTCGCCCAGAAGGGTAGTTTGGCCCGTAGAACAGGAATATCGCATCCACGCCGGGGCCAAATGGAGCTGGGTCACCGATCTCGAAGAAAACTTGCCCTTAAGTAATGTGACAGAACAAGGCATTTTCATGACGAGTTGCAATATTCGTGTTCTACGGGTCAAACTACCCCTCTAGGCAAAATTCTAGTCGGTTTCATCTTCTTGAAAGAAATTCGAAAGAAATCCAGCCCATTCTCGACAAAGTGGGGCAGTAAAGGGTAAATAGTGCCAAAAGCTTTTGTCCTCGAACACTCACGTGGTATAAGAGGGTTTGCTTTACGCAGGGTAAGAAGGCGGTCCTTCAACATTTGTCTTCGTCGTTCACATTCATAAACCTGAACCAAGATTTTTGACTCTCCGATACCTTGTAGTATACCAGTTCGGCTCCTCACACTAATGCGTGCGTCACAACAAAGAAGGCGTCAAAGATAGCTATAAATTGGATCAAAGCTTCACCCACCAAGAATCTGACCAAATATATGTGGTGGGTTATGAATTTAGCACGCTATACTATGCACTTTGGGAGCGCTTTGCACAAGCATCGCCCACTTTGGTAGCCTCGCATCACTTTCCCGCACTTTAGATTGTCTTCGAACAAAGTTTTAAATTTTAAGGAGAACCTTACAGTTGGATGCACGCTCAGTGCATCATAGACGTAGACTCACAAAGTTCTCGGGTGTGCAGCACATATTGCCCTGGACCTTGCCCGCTACTATATTTTTCCGCCGCCGCCTGTGATGACGTCCCGCCTACCCCGGATGGGCCTCCCTCACTTCATTTTTTTCCCATATTCATCTTTGCTCATTTTCTTCCAGTGTCTGGGTTTTTGTAACCAGGATGCTTCGACCCTGGCTCCGCCACTCCTCACGTCCCGCCAACTTGTTTGATCCACTAGACTACCTACGCTTCTCGAAAAGGGAAATCAAATACAAACAACTTTGCGACAGTTTTGTGTAAGTTCCCTGAAAATACCTCATCTTCCTTAAGCTCGTGACTCATTTGCAGCAAGTTTTCGAAAAAGTCGTCCTCAAGTTCTATCCGGGCTTCCTGGAATATTTCCGTTCTGAGTTGCTTGGAATCAGGGATGCTTGCCTTCCTAACAACCTTGAAAACTAGGCGAAAGTCGGCTGGTAGTGGACCACCAGGCTTGAATGGCATTGATGTCAATCCATGTACAAGTTTGATCCATTTAATAGAGTTTATAAACTGGAAAGTAAGCGATCTTGAACAAAACTTTCTCATGTACTTTAAAATGTCACCTCGTCAAAAACCTGCGCAAAATTGAACTCATACGGAAGGTAGAAGAGAAAGGAGGCTGCGGTCCAAGTCCACACCTGTGAAGCAGGTCGTTTACAAGCAGGAGTTAACCCGAATCCATAATTACAACATCGAACGGAAGGATCACCTTATTGGAAGGTGTTGTACAGTTGTCGAATCCTCTCCGAAAATTATCCATTTGAATGTCGAAAGGGCGCCGCGTTATATATACATCCTAAAACAAAAGCCATGCACAAAAAATGACTTACCATAGATAGATAACAAATTGAGATAAATCAGAACATTAGGTAAGGAAAATGAGATTATGAAAACTATGAAACCAACAATGGCTGTCACAATATCGGCTCCATTCATATTAATAGTTAGCTGTGGCGACACTGCAGTAAGACCAGCAGGCGAGCAGTCAAAAGTTAACGAAGGAATAAGCCAAACCATCCTGGATAAGAAATTAGTACATCTAAGGCTACATCAGAACAAATATGCTCCACTTCTAGCCTACTGTGCCGCTAATTCACTAGAAGGTTTTCTGCGAAGCAGCCCTAGGAGTCTGCCATGGGAAAGGCACACGCACCTGTGATACTGGGGTAACTCCATAACGAATTCAATAGAATGATTTGTCAGCATTCTCAACTGAGTAGGTTTTGGAGCCTTTCTTGGAACTGCTGTGCCAGCGGGCGACTCAATGAATGTCCTAGAAGAATCAAACAAAATGAAGAGTCGTTTTTTCACTGATAACGACCATAACATCATTCGAAGCATGTAGAGAAGCTACGTCAATCAACATTCACCTCTTAACAACCTGGATCATGTGATACACCACCCGATGAAGCAGAGGAGACCATAGAAGATAAAAGTGGGCTCCTGACGAACATGTCACGTTACGGACTGAGCTGGACATTTCGACAGAAATACAGAGCATATTTGTTTCGCCACACTAAAGACAAAGTTTTCATTAGAGTTACTATTTAGAAGTAGAAGAACTGACCAGCTGTAGTTCATTCATGTTCTTCTCTCCTATGGCGGTACGCCGTCGATTTTTACGCCTGAAAAAAGAAAAAAGTTCCTACAGCGAAACACGCCTCACATCCCTAGGATAGCTTACTTACACATCATTATCAGACTGACTCCAGCAACGCCATGGGGTACTTAACTCTTCTTCTGATTGGGGTGGAACAAACTTCTCGACACTGTAGAGCGTTGAAATATCAATAAATGTCCCCCGAACTTCTCCAAACTATAAATTACAAAAATAAATTAGAAGATAATTATCATTTCCGAAATGCACAACTTACCACTAATCGCGTCTTTTGTGCAGAAGCCACAAAATCACACAGGTTAACGCTCTCAGCTGCTAGTTCATCACATAGCCAGGCAATGAACGAAGTTTCCTCCGCCAATGAAAATAGAGCCGCCCTAAAAAGCCGGCTGCAGCCAAACTAAGGAAAAAGGAATAAAAAGGGAAAGCTATGAACCTTTTCAACTGCAGCCTAGCATTCAAGGTGCGCCTTGAAGTGGACGTGGTCCTTGAACCAGCACTATTGGCGAAGAAAGCAGTTTCCATTTTTTTCAACTGAGCAAAAACAGTTTAATCACAATTGTCAAGCAGGTGCTATTTTCAAATCAAGGCCACCAAAAGTACCTGCTTAGCCAACTTGTCGCTCCATTCGATCTTACAATCATCAATCCCAATGAGCAAACCTGGTTCCTTCAGATTTTGCTGCACCAATGCAGCTCCAATATAGACCTGTCGATATGGCAATAAACGAAATTCCAATAGAAAGCATTTAATGTATTGTCAGAACTACTAATTTCTTCGAACTCTGACCGATTGTCCCCACTGATGCCTATCAAACGTTGCATCCATTATAGCGACACTAGGACCCGCAACACAAAGGCGATCAACACCTATTTCCAGCATGCGCTCTTCCTGAAAACGAAACCTATACTTGACATGTTTCAGCTGCGAGGTAAAGCCACGTCACGTCAGAAGAAGCATAAAAAATTTTGAAGCTTCGCAGAAGCGCAACTGCAATACTCTGTCACTCTGAATGGTAGTTGCGCAAAAACCTACCGATGACCACATCCTTCTCAACGTCAAGTCACTACATGGAAAACCCCACCTCGAAGAGGGAACTCTAGATGAAAAGACTGCGTAGAATCTGATCGCATGCCAAGACTTATGTGCCTGGTAACTTGCCATCTTCTACGACACTAGTTCACTCATCCAATCGCCGGCTTTATAGCGATGCCGCTTTTCGTTAGGGATGAAAGTGGATGTGACCAATATCTGCATAGCGTTGCAGCTACTGTTCGAAATAGGCATGTAAAAATAGGCATATCAGATCGGAGGGCTTAAAGCCTGCTCAAACTGGGAAACTTTTAAAAGTAATTTGAGGTTTTCGGTCAGTACCAGTCCAGCTTTCATCCTCCTTAAGGATGTGCTAGAAACTAACCAACCAGTAGATAGGAAACTAATAAAACAATTTTTCGTTGTTTAAAAGTCTTAAAGTACTTGATTGAACTCACTTTTGTAATACTCAGAAACTGCAAAGATAATGTTGACTGAAAAGCGTCAGCGTCAACAAGATCACAAAAAACTGACGCAATTTCAACAGAAAAAGTAAAAGGAATGCGTGGTACAGCGGAAGAAGCAACTAGTGTAGGCTGTCCCTGAATGTGTTCGTCGTGACTTTCAAAAACAGTAACATCAAAGAAACTTCAGCGAAACGCTTACTTTGTTTAGCACCGGAAGAACAGAATCAATGTGAGCTTTCCACCATGCAACATCTTGCACAGAAAGGGATGTCTGAACGCTGTCCGAAATAATTTGAACAGCATTTCCAGCATTCTGCTTCTGCAAAGGTTACATTAGCCAATTCATACCCACGTAATTCCCAAGCAGTAACGCTCGGCAAACTCGCAGCGATATGCACAAAAAGAACTATATCGACCATATGTGAAAATCCTTCTACTCATTTCACATTACTATAAGAATAATGATAATATCAAGAATAACCGCCTTTACAAGACAAAAGCAACCAGCAACCTATAATTAAAAGGCAGACCACGAACCTCATGAGATAGAATTAGCAGACTTGTCCTGAGAGCCAACCGTTGACGCTGATCTTCCACTGATAGCCCCACGAAGCGCGTCTGAGTTTTCCCACTATCCTTTGTAATAGAGAACCCTCGTAACGCTACAGTTAACTTTCGGCTGAAAAAAGAGTTTCAGTTGTCTATTCCAAAATTTTGCTAGCTTATCATTACAAAAACAAGTTGGATCGCCCGGCTAAGGCCGTGCTTTCCCCTTTTCCTGTTAGAGTTGACCCGCCGCCTGTATTCTCCGAAATTTGGTCGCTCTGGCCAAAAAAAGCAGGAACTGTTTAATTTATGTGAAGTATACTCACACCTTTAGATAGCTTGGTTCATCATCCACTTATTCAAATTTGACGGCGTAATTTACTTAGATTACGTTCATTTCACGACGCTTCGTCCCCTGCATTCCCACCAAATTTGAACTCTTCAAGTCTAAGGGAACAGAAAATATGAATTTTCGGTCGGATAAACACTTCAACACCCACGCAACACTCACTCATATACACACAAACAGACAAATCAACAGACACATTTAGCGCGTTATATATCCTACTTTATATAACGCGCTAATGTGTGTATGTGTGTATGCGTATGTGTTTGTGTATGTGTATATGTGTGTGTGTGCTCGTGTGTGTCCGACCGGAAATTCATAACTTCTGTTCCCGTTCCAAAGTGTTAATTTGGTAGGAGTGCAGTCGGCTTGATGGGAGCACTTACGGTAGGTGACAGGACTGGACTCCGCCCACGATGGGGTGGGGTTTGAGCAGAAATTCATAGCTCCTGTCCCCGTGGACCTAGGAAGTTCAAATTTGCTAGGATTACTTGAAACAGGATGGGAACACTATGGTAGGTAGAAGAAACGTTTCCGCCCACAGGAGGCGGGGTTTTCGTGGAAAATGTCAACTTGGCCCTGGGGCGTACCAGCTTGGTAGGAGTACAGGCGGCAGAATGGGAACGCACACGGTGGATGGCAGGACCAGACTCCGCCCACAGTAGCGAAGTTTCTCAAAGAAGTAGAGGAGGCAGGATGGGAGCACTAACGATGGAAGAGGCCTTAGAAAACATGATAAAGGCCACTGCAAACCACCGTAAGTGTCAATGGGATTCGGTTCACGTCGAGACCCCCCGAGAAAATGTGTGTAAAAGGAGGAATGGTACATATTAGAACGGCTCTATATCACCCGTAGCTGAATGATCAGCCCACGATTCTTATTCGTACTTTGAAACGGGTATCAAAAACCCAAAGTTTAGAAGCAGGGACGATCGGGAACGGTCTGCAACCCAAGATTCCCACTGCGCTGGACAACCCTAAACGATTAGCTGACCCTAAGCAGACGCTTTCTCGCAAGAAAACCCGTGAACTTAGTGTAGGAATATTCCGATTCAGAAAAACGTCCTCAGATAAAATTCGGTCCTATTCACTACATGATTTTGCAGGCAAATGATAATTAAATATGAGTATTACTAGTTAACTCACCTTTCTCCACCTAATACAGTGCGATATTTCAATAAACAGTTATTAGTTTCAATGTGCAGATCTGAAAGATGTTCAGCCGAGAAGAACGCACTGCCACCTGGTGCCGCAGGGTTTCCAACTTCGTTGCTGGACAGTTTGAAATAGTCCGCCTTCTGATTGAGTTCATGAAACACGTCTGAAATCGGGCACATCCAATAATTCGCTTCAGATAATACGATATCATGGTTATTAAATGTGAGAAAGGATCATGTACGATTGATTAATTCATCAACGGACCCATTATAATCACTACAATATTTGACTAGAGCGTGCCACTGAGCACGTCGCACCAAAGGAAATTCCGAGAGCATTGGAACGATGAAACACTCAAAGTCGTACATAGCTGTGAGAAGAATAAGCTTTTCTTACAGCAGGTCTTACAGTGTTGAAATTGCCCCAAACGCTTTGTGTTTAGGTATATGTAGGTATGAAGGGCATCGATTATTCCCCAGTAAAGTTGTTGGAGCTATGGCTGACGCAATTCTGCCCTTCAGCTAGAACCGGGTTAATGTAAAAAAAAANAAAAAAAAACTCCAGGTGAGATGAGTTAGTGTGATCCCCTCCACTAAACATGCACAAATTTCTTACAGGATAAGAAATTTGTGAGAGAACATCCCCTTAAAGATTACCGAAGTCTCACAAGGTTGGCGATTTATGGACAAAACTTCAGTTTCGGAGGGACTCGAACCCGTTTGTGCTTTCCGGGCAACTGGGCTTTGTGAGACTTTCGGAACGCGTACTGCGGCGTAGCAGTTAACAAAATATCAAGACAGAGCAAGTTTAGCGAAGTTTTTTAAGATGAGCATGGAATGCAGATTATCAACGGGATTCCCAGTACGGTGGAATGCACCTCACATCTAAGATGACCACTACAACCCACTATTTACCCTTGCAAATGAAGAACTTATAAAGAAATCCCTGAGCGATTTGCACGATTTGCAACCAAGCATTGTTTTTATCTTGATACTCTTATTCCTCTTTTAGCGATACGACACTGGTCTCTGTCTCCTACGGGAGACAGAGACCAGTGTCGTGTGTACGGGGGACGGTACATTCGTGCGATTCGAGCTGTGCGCGCGGAGTTCGTGGCCATTCGAACGACCCTGGCGCCTATTAATGGGGCACAAACTTGAAGTAGAGTAGATTAGTATGGTCAGCTGATCTTATTAATCTGCTCTACTTGAAATTTTGGCACCAATAATAGCCGCTCAAGTCGTCAAAAACGCTATGAATTTGGCCGTGCAACTTGCCGCGCGCAGCTCGAATCGCACGAATGTACACACACCCCTGTCTCCATTGGAGAGCGCCATACGGCATAATGCAAAGGGTTCAAAGCTGGTGATCGCATCCTCAGTAGCGACGAAGCTCGATTAGTGGTCTCATCAAGCCTGCCGAACGACATTCACCTTGCTTACCCGCTTGCTTCTTGCTGATATGTCCAAGGACTAATTCCGAAGCAAGAATCTGGGCAGCACCTCGTTCCGGCTTCAAGGTAGTATTCCTTGACGATTTCTCTCCTCTTGCTAGATGAACATTGGCGAGGTGTTACCTGTGCCACAGACACTAGTTCGATGCAGTCCAGAGACTAGACATTATCTGAACCAAGTTGACTGCTCTATTTACGTTTAGTTTTCCTGATGGCCATCCGCAACGCCCTAGAAAGCACGAGACCGTTTTCCGATGAAAAGCAGCTTGGCAGAGGAATTTCACCTTGGAAAAATTGTCCTAAAATGCTCCAAAAAGTGCATTCGATCGAGTAGTAGAAGGTATTTCTAAAGGCAAGCTTACATATTCTTGCCCGAAAAAATCGGCCACCCCTTCAACAAAATCAAGAGTCGACATACTGACGTTGGATTGATGATATACTTCGAAAATTTCGCGATACATACGTGAAGGGGAGTTGGGAGGGGGAGACGGTGAAGGGGAAGTTTGTTTGATAATACAGTCCTCGATCGTGCCACAGGTTTACGCCTGATATGATCTGCACGACTATTTCCCGGGGCAAAACATTATTGCAGAGTCCTTCATCGCTCCACGTGCACAGCCCGACTATTGAAAAGGAGATAACCTCATCATAGCTTGCTCATTATGCATAACCCCAGGAAAGAGCACGTCCACGGAAAAGCAACAGGACCTCAAACGAGAGGCGAAAACGAAACCGTCCTACTATATATAACCCCCTATTGTCTGTGTGTGTGCGTGTTCAACCGGAAATTCATAACTCCTACTCCCGCTCAAAGTTGGTGAGAGACTAGGCGGCAGAATTGTAACAACTCCGCTCACAAAGAGCGGGGTTTGCGCGAAATTGCCAATTTGGCCCTAAAATAGGCGTTTAAATTTGGTACGAGTACAGGCAGCAGGATGGGAACACATATAACTGGTGGCGGGACCAGACTGCGCCTGCAAGGGACGGGGCTTGCGCGAAATAAATTTTTGACCGGGAGTTCATAACTCCTGTTGCCGTGGACTCAAAGCGTTTAAAGTTGGTAGGGGGACAGGGAGCAGGATGAGAACACTGTGTCCAGAAAAGGGGTCTGCGGGAAAATTTCTTCTCAGACCTAGAGCGTATAAATTTGACAAAGGCACGTGTGGCAGGATGGAAATACTGATGACAGATGGCAGGATTCGACCCTGCTCACAGGGAGTCGTGCACGAAAGTTTGTTATTGAGGAAAATTTAGCATCTCCTGTTTTCTAGCGCCTAGAGCGCCCAAATTCGGTAGAAGTACAGGCAACAACATTAAGACATTGATGGTATGTGGCAGGACTGGACTTCCACCCAAGGGACAGAGCGTGCGTGATAATTGTTACCTGGAGCTTGGACCTGGAGCTTCAAATTTGATAGGAGTACTGGCGGGAAGATTAAGACACTGATGATATGTGGTAGCAAGAGGTCAAGCTGAAGACACCCCGGGGTGGCACAAGGGGACGGAGGGGCGGAGCATGCGTGAAGTGGGCGTAATCTGAGTGAAAATACCCAGCTAAGCGGAATAAGTGGGGAATAAAAGAAGTTACTTAAACACAGACTTTGAGCAGGGCTTTGCTCATGGCAGGGATGGAGGGGGCGTACAGGTGTGTGTTTGTTTCGGTGGAGATCAACAACTCCTGTTCTCTTGCGCCAAGGATTTAAAAATTAGAGGAATGCAGGCAACGAGTGAACTTTAGTATGAGGAGGAGAGACCGGCGGTAACCCGCGATCCAACTGATGTTGTCATAAGTGGAGTGTACTATTATTTCCCCAACACACTATTATAGCTAACAGTCTATGCAGACGAGGATTATCGCTTACCGCTCGAGAGCTCAACGGTCAAATCTGCGACACGGAAGCCAACAGTTTTCAAGCGACTGCCTGCGATATCAACAGAGAGGCTGAACTGAAGACCGAAATCAAAAAGGGGAGGAGCATTGGTAGGCTGGTGGTGGATAGCTTTCGCTCGAGTAATCAGGCACGATGTTTCTACTTGCCACCTGCAACCATTAGTGTGACAAAAAAAAAGTTGGCGAGGTTTCGAAAAAAGTTTACCCGTCACGACTTCGAAACGTTTCCATCAACAGCTCGTCAATATTAAAATGAAATATACATCCAGGTGAAACATCGTGAAGGACCAAATGTCCTCGACTGATGTACAATCCGCAATACTTAAAATCGAGAATAAAACAAAAAACTAGAAATCAGATTTGAATAGTGGAGCTCAACCAAGAAAAAACTGCAACACCAACCTGAATCAACTGAGTAACTCGAGAGAATAAAAGATTCTTAGAATCAGTTCGGCTTCTATGCAGAGCACTCCGCCTAGGCGAAATATTTGCGAGAGAGCGAGCATCTCCCTCCACACTCACATTGGATAACGAGAGAAGAAGAGGTTTGCTGAAGTACGCTTTTTTTTCATTCAAGGGAAAAATTCTGAGGAAAGGATGTTGGCAAAACGAAAAAGACATTTCAGCTTTCCTCAAAGAAATTAGCAACAAAAATGGGAGAATACGAAAACAACGCTTTTGTGTGCATTGCGGCGCCCTCAACGAATTCGAACAGCTAGGATTACAATATTTTTGAATGCGGTTCACCGATAATCCGGCTTACCGATATGACTGGCTGGTCCGGAAAGAGCTGACCGAAGACTAGGACGCGCTGGTTCGGGGTCTCCTCAAATTTGCTGATCAGGCCAAGTTTTCCCGGATGTATATCTCCACTCGATTTCAGATCTACTCAGGACATGAGGACCTTGAGGCTTGACTATAACGCCACCCATCTTGAAAGGCTGCAAGCAAATATCAGTTGCAGACTAGTAGTGCGGCGAGACTTTCAGCTGTACAGGGGTTGAAACTACGGAAACAACCCTGTATAGAACTAGACTTGAGCAATGCCGACGTGTTCTTTACGACCACAGAATCCCACTTTCACGTTTGAAGGAGGAGAGACTCCTACAACATCAAGGTATGAGATAAACAAACTTACACAAAGGTTTTACATCAACCTGTACCGATCCACGACAGATGAGGGAAATCCAAAGACTCTACCAGAGGAACAGCAATACCGATCCTCACTTCGGAGGTAAGAGTTGCGGTTGCGAACATGAAAAGGACACCACTCTAGACCCCGAAAATTTTCGGCCAACCTGCTCGGTGCAGTTAGTCACGAATTCATTGGCTTCTTAACACACATGACATACTAACTCCAAAAGTAGATGTTCCCCAACGAGTGGAGGGATTCCCCGATGGCTACTTTTCGCAAGAAAGGAGACTGGGATGATTTTCGCAACTACCGCCCAATAAGATAGTTTAGTTTTTTACAAGCTGTTCACAAAATCATTCCAATCCGCATATCGCGAACGTTAGATGAAGCTTAAGCTGTTGAGCAGGCTGGAACCAGGAATGAATTCAGCTGCTTAGATCACATCCAAGCGGTCGCAGTGGTTATCGTAGTACGCAGAGAATTTCAAATGCCCCTTGTTCTCACCTTTGTTGTTTATGAAAAGCTTTTGGCAGTGTCGAAACGAATGCGTTCTGACAGCAATAGTCGACCAAGAGTTGGAGCTTCCTTATAAATATAAGAATACCAGCTGACTGCAGAAGATGCTGCAGTGCGACGGAGCAGCTAATCCCACGATCTCACTCTATTCCCACCAAAAAGGTGTGAGACAAGGCAACACTAATTTGCCAAAGTTGTTCACAGCCGGCTGCTTTGGTAGTGAAGTCGCTAGATAGGAATGAGAGGGGCATTCGAGTATATGGACGTTTCCCTCAAATCTCTGTTTTTTGAACGACACTGTTCTCTTTTCAAGCAGTATTGCGGAACTGAATGAAGCAGGAAAGAACGTAGGGCCGCGGATCAACCAAACAAAGACAATTCATGAAGAATGCTTGAGCCGACGAAGGTCGAATCATTATCGATGATTTACCCATCAAGGAGACGTCGTCATATGTTTATTTCGGGCGTTACATTAACATGGTCAACGACTTGACGGGAACACTGGTAAGACGACAAAAAGAAAAGTGGGCAGACTTGGGCCCTCTAAAATAGGTCATCAACCATTTGGATGATACGAAACTCCGCGCTATCTGCTCGATTCCACAGTGCTCCCTGCGCTCTGTTACACGTTGACCACATGAGTAACCAGTTCATCCACGCCAATCACTTTGAGCTGAAGTCACAAAGCACTCAAGCGTTATCTTTTGAGCTTCACCCGGCTCCGATATACGCACAATGTCTCGCTTTCGCGATCCGGTAGAATACACTAAAAACGCCAAACTTTGGTGGAAAATTCTTATCGTGAGAAGAGATGATGACAGATGGACAAGAAGAAAGCCGAGAGATTTCCGTAGAATCGACTTTAGAAAAGCAACCCGACACTACTGGCCTTCCTATAAGCAAAAATAAACGAGAATCAATTGAAAAGGCAAGCGTAATCTCTGACGAAACCTATCATAAAATTTCACTATCCATAAATTCTGAAGCAAACAAAAAACATAAACCGTGAGAGAAATGAAATTCAGCCCAACCTTACTAAAATGGAAAATATTTGGAGCTGGCAAACATCGACATGGATTTGAAGTCCACCTGGTAAACGAACTCTCACATCGCTGAGCTTCCACCAACCAACATTACCAATTTCTAACGGGCAACGAATAATTGCTGACAGCAACCATGAGAGGAAAGTGCCCAAATACCTAAACTTGGATCAACATCAGATTAACCAAACTTATTATTCAAAAGGCTCAACTCACCGCAATGACACCCATATTATAACTGAAAATGCTAGGAAATATACAAGCATGATTCATGGTGCCCTCAGCATTTGTTGCGCTACAAAGCTCATCGAATATTAATGTTCTAGAACAATCGTTGATAATACGATATCCTATATCACTTGCCGACAACTCAAATCAGATATTTGCTGTACAACCACGTTTTCCTGAACTTGCAATGGGAAATCGCTTTAATCATTTATAAATATGTACCACAGTTATTACAACAATGTAAAGAATCCATACATATGTACAATTCGTGTCGGACGTTAAAAAGCAGCAAGAAATGTGGGGAATTCGCAGAATGTTCGAGTCATCACATAATTGGGGAGAACCAACGAGGAATCGACTCTAGACAAGTCCTCATAGATAAGCAAAACCACGAGCTCATTGATGGTGATATAAGTGAAATACAATGATGGTGATAAGCGCATTCTTTGCAATAAACCTGAAAAAAGTCGCACCGAGAAGGGAAGTTCCTACCCTCGCAAAAACCTAACAGTTTTCATTTTCGTGAAATGAAAGAAAAGGAAACAAGGCTTCACGATTACGAATGGCTAAGCCAAACCATGTAGTGAAGAAAGAACCAGGCATGAATTGGGTTTCCTGACACCTAGCCACGCGAGGCTTAATTTAAAAGACGAATAGGGCTTTACGATTTCAACCCGTGCTACGGAAAATCGGCTCGAATGTTGAAATAAGTTTATCAATATAACTACTCGCGAGGTTGATAAACACTTCCAATGGGTTACGTGTGTTTTATTCAGCCAAAAAAAGATGGAATCGACTAGTGAGTTTACCCGACCAAACATCTTGGCAGCTTACATAGTCTTTTAAAACTTATTCGTCATACAGTCCTAGGCAGGTGATGTTAACGTAACTAGATGACGGCAGAGACCCAACCTTACTGCTCGTTTCTCCATTTATTAGCCATTCAATGTGTTATCAACCTCATGAGTCATCATACTATTATTTACCAAGAAAGATATTCAGACAAAATGCCGAGAGTTATCGAGAGCCGTAGATGATGGTTCAAAATGGATGGGTGCAAAGAAAATTTTCCACTACGAGCCAATCCCGTACTGTCGACTCCTATCATCACACTTATGCGCGAAAGACCGAGAGGTGTCCCATGTTTCATCAAATAAGTGGTACGATCAGATTCAGTGTACAGTAGAAAATCCAGAAACTACATCTGTAACATAAGGATGTAGCGATTGAATTGCTCATTTCCGAATGTAGGTGGGGAAAACTCGTGCGAACACCAGTACTAGTATATCAGAATGTCAAATTTCACAGATAAAGTATAACAAGTAATGGAAATGAGTAGGCAGCGATTTGTGCACCAAACTGACTTTAAGCAAATTGAGCTTTCGATTTTTTTCACGATGGCCAAAGGGTGAAAGGAGGGAAGCTAAAGGTGACAGAAGCGCTTCTCTCAAGAGGGGTTCGCTTCGCTACTCAGCGCGAACTACAAAGCAATGCAAATATTAAATATCTGTAATCAGATGGTGTACGACCAGACACGAAACAGTGCGTATATGATTAAGCGCCCTAAAAATTTGAGAGCATGAAAATTGAGTCGTCGACTACAGTGACGTTCTGTCTCTAGGTTTCTCGTTTCACCCATCGGTCAGCGCGAACTTAGGAGCTCATTATCACTCAAGCTCTGATTTTGAAACAATCCCTCATCAAAAGTCAATACATGCAACAATTACGGTTAAAGTAAAGCTGTACCGACTTCGAGCTCTAAAAATTAATCAACTTCAGGAAAGATAATCATGAAACCTGCAACTAGCGACACGCCAAAAAACAAGCACAGGAGTTTGGTGATTCGATTACCAGCTTTCCTCAACTCATGTGGCAGAACTTCGAATGTTGTTATGTAAAGGAACGTTCCGCACGCAATTCCTAAATGGAAGAAAGTATTGAAAATATGCAAATGTCACCTAGTTGCTCGAAACAGCGAATGGAATGGTCTACTCAGAAATGGGACTATTTCTTTTCGACTGACCTTGCAGGACGGTAGAAACCAAAGCAGCGTTTGATCGATCTCCACCGGAAATCAAAGACATTATTTCCATTCCTCCTAGCCCACCAATAAGAACCTAAATAAGTACATGCGTAGTGGTGATATCTGAATGTACAATAGTAGTGTTCTTCGACACACAAGTCTTGATTTTCGGATAAGGGTACCATGGTAGTTACCTGTACGCTAAACAAGCTTGCACAAAGTGCTACCCAAGGAGTTCGCATGCCACTTTGTACAAGGCGCACGCCGAGGCTAAAACCGATCACACATTTGTGCAGTACAAGGGCAGCGAAAACCTGAAGTTAAGAGGCTTATTATATGAACGATAAGAAAATTTTGAACTTTCAACCTCGAGCAATTTTGAAGCATCGCTTATTACAGCTAATGATAAGCCTTCGAAGAGTGCATGTAATGAAAGTGCTAGCACAAGTAGACAGGCTCCCAACATCGGATTTGTATCGTCCTCCGCATCATCCAAGGCATACAACTCCTGAACTATTGCGCCGATTGAAGTTAGTTAGTTAGCATGTCCGATGATACGACGTACACCACTATGTATACCTGGGCATGCGAGCTCTCACTCTCGTTGTGGAGATGAAGATGATTTGATCTAAGCCAACCATGCTCTTGGATCGCAAGAACAATCTGAGCAGAATTACAATGAACTGAGACCCAAATAAATGATAAAAAGTCTTTTGTTAGACTTTTGTTATGGAAATCAGCATACGTAATCGCTACAAAGTCAAAGGAACAGAATAAAAAATATGTAAATNAACTAGTTAGCAAGAAGAATGACGAATCGGTTACGGTCAAGTTGAAAGTGGGTATGAATGCACCTGTTCAATTGTCAGAACCACCAGCAAGCCTCCCGCCACAGCTGCTTCCGCAACTGGGAAGTTCGACTTGCATCCAGACTTCTCAAAGGATTCCACTGCGTCTGAAAAATCAAGGAGAATTTCCACCCAACCGTGGTAGATAATGGCATAGAGAGAGATGTTCGAAAGGAAAGACAGACCTGGCAATAAATCAAGCATGCAGGTAGCTAGAAAAACTCCACCACCTATGCATGCGATAAACGAAGTAATATGGCCCCTAACCCTGTCGTCTCGCAATACAGTAGCTAACTGGAATGATAACGCTCAAACCAAAGATTTCAGGAAACATAATGAAGTAGATTTTGATCGAAATAAGAAATCGTTTTACGTACCATAGCTGCTGCAAATGTAAGAGCGAATAGTGTTATAAGCAGCAACGCCCTTAACGAATCCCGAGCACCGTTTGGAGCTGCTCGTTGCGTGGACAGTTCAACAGTGGCTAGCGGAAATGAAACATCTATCCATCTTGTGGAGAATCCCATATGCTGAAAGTTCAAACTAACTCGGAAACCAGGCCATAGCAACACAAACATGTTTGAACTTTACGATAATAGAAAGGTAGAAATAAGAAAGAAATATCGAAAAGAAGTCGTGATATTACCAAAGATTCGTTCTCTTACAGCTGCGCTGAAAAAGCCGTCTCGAATCTATCCTGCTAAAGTTGAGGACGTAGAAAACGGGAAGCCGAAAAGTGAGAACCGTGTAATAACAGTCAAACATCAGCAAAATTGATTCGAACCAATGTAGCCAGGGTATGATGGATTGGGAATCTTCGAACCTGTTCCACCACCCAGTAGTGTGCGTTAAATGAAGTCATATGCAATTAATCATTCCTCTTACTTCGGTCAAGTTTTGCTTTATTGCAGGCCTCTGTATTTGATGACCGAATATTCGTGCTCATCCAATTTGTTCAAAAGTGGGAAATAGAGAAAAGCACTTGGAGACATTTAGGTAATTTTTCCCAAATAGTGGTATGGATTCATAATGAGTCATATAACAGAAACTGTATTACTATACCCATTCAAACTCTCGAAAATTTATGTTTCGCCGTTGAGACGGAGTAATGTCAAGTGCTCATCTTATTTAATGGTTGCAAATGAGATACAATACTTAAATATCAATATCCCGTACGTGCACCTTTCCAACTCGATATTAGTCATAAGTCAAAACACAACAAAAGCAAGTAGTCACAGACATCAAATCTACTCTATAACACTATTTGTTACATTTAACTTTAACTTTCAACTGGTATTTTTAACAGGATTAAACATCCGGAGGAACTGAGGTCCTGTCTTCAATGCAACAATACCTAACAACTGTGATTGCACTTCGTCTTAACCGCATTAAATATGCCTTGAAAAAAAAGGTGAGAAATTCTAATAATTGAAAGCCCTGGAAGTATGCTGAAGAAAAAGCTTGTATGCGAACGCAAGATTTGGAAAATCAACTTCTAGAGGAAGATAAGCCAAGATCGATGAAAAGCCAAGTTCCACTACGGTCGCATAACTGCATGCTTAGGACAACAGTTGGTCATGGCCTCTTCAAATTTTCTGCTCGATCGCCGCTTCCTAGTACATGGCAACGGGGAAAATGGTTAGAACTTTCGCAGAAGTTGGAATTTGACTCTCAGTGTCCCCATCCTTTCCCTCCCCAGAGCGTTTGAGAGCGTTTGGCAATGGGTTGCTGGAGCTCAAAGTTCCAAAGAGTCTTTCTTCTTTCTTGGCGAGATAATAAGTGCAGAGCGCCGTCATAATGTAGTGGTCTTACTCAGTGATCATTTGTGACGGAAAACCTTTTCCTTAGTAGCGAAAAAGTAACGGAAAACATTACATATGACTAATAAAACTAACAAAAATCTATTTTATAAATGCCTGTCCGTAGGCCCCACATTTAAAACGACCGAAATAGCTCTTGAGTTCTTTTACCAGGACTTCTACGATCTCATATAAGGCGTTGCGGCATAGAAGAACGGTTCATGCAAGGTGCATTAAGTTCTCAAAAAACAATGCGCCGGTAATCACGGCCGTCGTTTGGCGCGCACTTCGCAGCCACTTTGTCAATGGGGCGCATGTGCTTCACTTGGCGCTTAGGCGCCGCCCATCCGGAGCAATTTCTGCGTCGAACAACTCGTCCGAACCAACTTGTTTGCTTGCTTTTTGATTATTACGCTGCTAAGGCAAACGCAGTGAAGGACAACCTTCTGAAATCAACATAATAGACCATGCGAAAGCGAGATAAAAGCAGTAGACAAAGCAAACTAAGACGAAAACCACATAACGCATTGTAAAGGATGGGTAAAGCATTAGTTAGCAGAGTACATATATTAGCCCCGAGGTTTACGGTACGGTTGATATTTACAGTGGAGTTTGCCTCCGCGTTGATTCTCTGCTTCATCTTGTGTTTTCAGACGGCAGCGGAGATAAGGCTGGAAACCGTATAAAAGCCACGCACGACCGTACTCGACGCTGTCTGGCTCTCTGGTACTCCGACTACATCAACCAAGGACGACGTCACGTTTCGACACACCTCACCACCAACACCGAATTACTCAACCCGGTGACCTAAGGCCGAAGACACTGAATGAGGCTCGTGCTCGTCCGTCCCCAGGCCAGAGGCCCTGGGACCATCCTTCATATACGCATGTACTCGTGTCGCTACACTGCCTGTATTACTACATGTTATCAATCGTGTTCCGGTTCCATATTGTGTCTTAAGGATAAACGATATTCTATATGAGGTGTTATATCTTGGATAGGTCATGACCTGAGGCTGAGATTGGCGGGTATAAATGATCCCGGATCGGATCATTACTGGTAGCAGTCAGTATAGTCTGTTCTGGCATAGGCCAGAACCGGCAGTTACCACCGCTCCTTCAGGGCGGGGCTTAAGTAGCACATTCTATTCTTTGTCATACCCGCTACAGGGGACTCTTTTCTTGTACGCCACCCGTAACCAGGGTCTTTGCGTTTGTTCTCAAATAAACTATCACTGAACCACCGTCTTCTATTTGTTCGTTCAAAAGAGAGATAACAATCTTTCTGATTATATAAAAGGCGCCACTCTCCGCCTAACCACCACATGGTCTCCGAGTGAGCCACAATCCCCCGACCAGGTGGACTAGTAGCTGTAGCAGTAGCTCCTCTCCTCGGAGAGATGATCCGTTTAAGCCTCGACCGGGGAGCCTTGTTCGTAGTTGTCACGAAGGTGAGTTTCGAAGTTTCGAAGGAACTCCCGGGCCTCCCTCTGAAAATCTTCCTCCCTTTGTTCCTAACCCTCATCGCTCGCTATACCTCACTACATGCCATGTACAACTTTCACTCAAATTGCATTTTTTCAAGTACATTTTTCTAGTTAGTTATGTTATCCTACCCGGTGATACGATATGCATTATGTGCATTATTTGCCATTTCTATTGGTCTCTTACTCTCACGTACACGGCTTAAATTCTCCCAGACCTTGCGCAAGTCTCGCTCAACGGCGCACTCCCCCGCCCTCCTCTTCATGGCAGTCCGCATTTACCGTTTATCGAATCCACCATCGTTTTCTTAATTTCCTCCATTCAAAAATGCTCCTCTCTCTCATGGCACATTTGAATTTCGAATATGTCTCGGCATTTCCTCATGTTTACCTTCTCAGGTCATAAAATACCATCAAGATCTTTTCGCAGCTTCGTCGACACTTTCCCAGCCTAGAATTTCAACATAGCAGCGGAAGCGTACCCTTATCTGATCGGAGCAGCTTCTCGGCTCTTCTCCGCATGACAAACATTCAGCAAAGATTCAAAACATGATAACAGTGCAGCTGGCATAAATACCCACCGTCGCTCGTTCAAACCATCCAGTCTGTCCACTGTGCACTTCTCATACTCTATTCTCTACAATTTCTCGTCCTACAACAAGATTTCAAACCTGCGAGTCCAGGGAATCGTCATCAACCCCAGAGGTACCCACTTCCAACCAGCAGGAAGGAGTCCCTTTACTCTTCGAACTGGACGCCCCTGTCAGCACTTCGCTCTCATTAGAACGAGTGGCGGAGATGCCCACTATGGATTCTGATGCGCCTCCTGTTAGCGGCCTGACGTTCGGGCAGCTCGCGCCCAAAACCTTGAAAGTCTTCTCAGGCTCCGACGGCCAAGACTCCGAGTCTTGGTTTAGGCGCTTTGAAGATATGGTGCGGATGGTTGACCTACCGCTGCCAGAACAACTCAAGACCAACACATTGGTCGGGTACCTAGATGGGGAAGCTCGTGACCTGGTTGACGAAATGCCGGAAAAGGACAAGAACCAATAAGGCAAGATAGTTGGGCACCTGCGCGATCATTCCCCAAACAACAGTTCACTAAGCTATGGGCAGCGCTTGAAGGGAATCAGATAGCCTTGGAGGCCCCACACAAGCGCGACAATTCATCATGACCCAACTAAGGCTAGTACCCTCTCGACCCCATCTTCCCCTCTTAGCTTCGCCAGCTTCCTCTTAACAGCATTTTATAAACCATGGGTCACCCTTTGTTGCATAGTAGTTTCAGTTCAGCTTCTGTCCCGCATTACCATATTATATATTCCAAGCCAAATTCCCTCGCATTAATTTCAGTACGTAGCTCGTTTCTACAAGAAAAGGAGGAGCCAACCCCAGGCAATGCCAGCGCCGCAAAATTACAGTACTCTCGCGTAGTCCCCAATCCCCCTGGAGCCAGCACCCTTTCCCACGGTTTACACCTTATCGTTAGCGACTTAACCCGGTTAACGGAGTCAATGTGTCGACATTAATTGACACAGGATCCAATATTACCTTGGCTGCGCAAGACCTTTGTGCAGCTTTCGGTATCTTTACGTTGGACCCTCCCCAATCCGTCACGGCAATGGGCATGGCAGGTATTCACGTCCCAATGGCTGGATCCAAGAAAGTCCAATTAAGAATCGCCAATGTCGGTCTCCCTTACACTTTGCATTTCACCAAAGGTTCGTGCGTTCCTAACATCAACTCAGCGTACGAAGTTACCTTGGAAAATGATGTCCTAGCTATGTTACCAACTATGACTATTGACTACCAAAATCACCACGTTTCTTTTGGTCAAGCTACTCTTCCATTGGGTCAAACGGTACGTCCCTCCCCCCACTCTTTTCCCCTGATCCCTTTCCTGGTGTGTGTAAGCGATACTATGAAATTTCAGCCAAACATGGAAACCTTAATTCCGTGCATCCTAAACAACTGGGGAGAAGCCACAGACTTCACGCTCGTCTCTCGAGCAATATGTCTTTTCAAAGGGACCTCTCTGCAGCTCCCGCCATAATCAATTCTAAACAACCAGTTCTGCTGGTATCCAATCCTACCAATCAACCTCAGACGCTGTACGCAGGCATGCATATAGCGAAGGTCATGCCATTGACCAAGAAATTTGCTTTGACCGATTCTCGCGCACCCCCATAGCGGCCACCTGTGTGGACTCATTTGACGTGGCTGATCCCTCCTAGGATCAACCTCG